CGGGCGCTTCCGCTTCCGGCCCTCCCGCCGCCGTCATCAGAGGCGTTTAGAGGGACCGCGCCATCCCTCCTGGCGCGGAAGCGCTGCGGTACGGAGGGTGCCGGGGGAGTACCTGAGGTACAAAGAGAGAAACAGCTAAAATTCCTTAAGGGCAGGTACGTTTATTTCATGAATACACCACCGCCTTCCGCAGGGCAGAGAGGGAATGCTGTACGCCACTGAGTTTCAATACTGCAGCTCCGGAAAGGATACAGCCATAAATAGCAGCGTGCCACGAGCGAGAAAATCGTTACATTGGACAGAGCGATTTGCCACAGGGAACGCGGAATTCATGAAAACATGTTGCGCGTTTCTAATTTTAATTCTTAGTATTTTCAGAACTTCTGCTAGTAATTACTTTCGTTAATACACGTTACAGCGGTTAGCTATATATACACACACACACACACACTATATTTTTGGAGCATTTCTTGTGATCTTCACAGTACTTCGCTGTCAATCTCCGTAATCCTGTAAAGTGGAGAGGTGCTGTATACCAGGTACATTTTAGACAGTAGTTTTTAATCACTGTAATTAAATATTCAACAAAGAACATACTTATCACGTAACTCCACTAACAAAAAGCTTCCCCCCAAAATTGTTTTGCTAATGTAAGAATATACCAAAACACCAATCACACAGATGTTTATAGCAACAGTTTAAAACAAGGTAATTCACATACCGCAGCACAAAGAGTATAGTACCACTGCTGTTTAAAATGTACAAGTACTGTTTAATGACCTGAATGGAAAAAAAGCGCAATATAAAACTATCGTCACTCCTCTATCCAACTGCGGCTCATGGCTAACCATATACTCTTTAAAGGAAGAGTGGATTATTTTATAAATAATGTTTCGATAGCGTTTGAGAATTTATAAAAAGTACTGTCATCGTGTATTTTGCTACTACAAATATAATGCTAGTATGTTGTGTTTCAGTCCCTGGTTTTGCAGAGTTTGCTCGCAAGTAAGCCAATGCGCGTAGGTGTGTATTTGCAGTCCCCCAAGAGATGACAACACTGTGACACGTTCAGCTTTGGGTGAAAGCACGCAGCTGCGTATACGAGTTATGTTCTAAGACACTGCGAATGGTAAGGAGAACTGCAGGGTTTTACAGCATACATAAACGGAGCTGAGGAAATCAGTTATTTAAATTGCCGCAGGATAACAAAGTACCGTATTTTGTGTAATCTCACGTGAGCTTTAGAAAATCATCACAGCACAAAGAGTTGCGTTTTTATAGCGTAATACGTAGAACTGTGACTGAGCCTTCGCTAACCTCAAAGCAGCACCACGCAGAGGATGGTCACTGTCTCTGGGCGAGGAGGAGTCACTCGTTTAGTCTTAACTGCAAAAGTGACAGAATGATATTGTTCAGCTCAGAGAATTACTGTTCTCCCGTTTTCTTTGAAAGTAAGATTTTAAAAATACAGCAGTATGTCTAGTAGATGGGGAGGATGCTGAGCGGACAGCCCAATCACATGAAGAGGACTTCCTCCTCCTCTGATGTTCTAACACGGCTGCTGATTCCCTCGCTCAGGTCTTTCTGTGGGACAAGAAAGCCCTTCTATCACACAAAAGAGGGGAGTGGGACAAGCCAACTCCAATATGCTGTCTGCAACTGGTAGAGACTGCTTTGTATCTCAAAACCCAAGGGGAATTTTTCTCCAGAGGTTGAAGGAAAACCTGTTCTATCAGTTGTTTCCCATTTGTGGGAAAAAAGTATCTTTAAAATAGTAATTAATAAATGGATGATATGGAACAATTATTCTGAAGTAATACTAGTGAGTATATGTCACAATAATATTTAATAGCTGAAATGTACTGACACAGAAAATTGAAGTCAAATATTGAATATATTAATATGCAAAGTTTTGTTTGTATTTTGAAATTAAACTATTTTTGTTGTGCCTCAAATTCAAATATAAGCCTTACAAATATCCATAGCCTCTGTTATAAATTAAACTTCTAAACAATACTTGTCAACATTCAAATCTCAATAAACTTTGGCAGCTCTTTGGTAAATACTTATAAATATCAATTAACAAAACAGTAAAAAGGGAGTGGGGAGGCTACCAGCAGGGAGCCCCCCTTTTTTTTTTTTTAAATTCCACAAAGGGGAACAGAAATGAGAGAGCTCCCTAAGCAAAAATTCTTTCCAAGATTGGTATATTTTAATGAGATTAGTAGCTCATCTTTCTTTTCTCTGTCTATTCAAATACTATTACATCAGGATTTTAATAAATTTCAGACAATTTTTTGTGCTCTACCATATATACATATTCAAAATTTATACACAAACAATAGTGGCTGTTTACGAGTAGAGTTAAGTTTCAGTGCATTTGACAATTAATTATTGCACACAGAATAATCTCAAATGCCCAATTATTCTACTGGATAAAGGTAGCAACAAATACAACCTCTTATATTTTTGAACATCTATCTTTCTGTAAAATCTTGCGTTGGTGACACCTTAGGTGCCAAAGAAGTGAAAGGATCTGAGGGGGATCTGTTGCTGGTTATTCTTGATGGTATAGGAGGTGCAGGTGGTCTTCTTGCTGGCATTGTATAGAAGCAATCAGTAGAACTTTTATTCCAGTCATTATCAACATTAAAGTCTGAACCAAGAAAAGTGTTTTGTTCAGTGCCCAGCAAATCTGGAGATCCAGCTGACTTCCTGGAACTGATTTGCTTAAAATCTGGAACACTTTTAGATGGCTTTAGCTTTACATTGAAATTCTCCTCCTCCTCCTCAAACGTTACCCATCCTTTTGGGTGTACATTTTTTACCATGAGAGATTTACTTCGCAAGCAAAAAGTGTTTTCAGATGCATCAACAGAAAATACAGGCTTGCTTGTATTACAACTGGGGGGATTTAGAGAAGGGAAGGGATTGCAAGCGGCACGTCCTTCTGGAAGACGTGAAGTTATTTCAGACTCTTGCGTTTCCGTTCTAAATGGGTTTCCAGCATTAGGAGTTCTTTCAGTGAATGGATTTGTGCAGTTCAGTCCAGTAATAAATGGATTTGGAGAGCTGCGCATATGTTCCTGGGATGTGTTAAAGGTTGGAATAGGAGGCATTGCTGGCATGCAATTTACAGTATTCAAAATATCAGCATTTCTTTGTGTTGCTGAAGGCAACTGTATCAACTCCTTTTGGTTTAAAGTCGGAACAGGTGATGTTCGAACAGACGTCTGCATCTTTGACACAAGCAGCTTAAATGACAAATCTTCAAAAGGGTCACTGTTTAACTGTGTTTCAAGTTTAGTGCCGTACGTTCCATTTGTTTTAATCTGGAAAGAAAACAAGCTGCTTAGTAATCACGTGGCTGTCTGTTTTAAGATTATTACTAACTCCCCATTTCTCACTCTTCTATGAGACGAAAAGAAGCTCTTGGGCTTAAACTGAAACTTCAGTACAATTTGGTTGTAACTTGCACAATGCACTTGTAGTAGAATGATTGCTTCTTTTCTGGAAAACAGTAATCCTTAACCCCTCCTCTGAAGAAAAGCCAAAAAGAAACACAATTTTCCCCTGTGTTGGTTGATGCAACTTGAATCTACTTCATGCAGGTCAGAATCCTAGCCAAAAGCACTAGTGGACATTGTCTAAGAAAATCTTTAAGAAACTTGGGAAATGATGCTGTATTCTAAACAAGCGATAACCCAGCACAAATAATGAAATAAAAAACTAGCTTTCATTGTTTGAGAGTTTATAACACTGATGTTACAAGCAATATTTAAGCATCACAATGAAAGGAAGTATTAGTGTTATTAGTATATGCACTTCAGACATTTCTGTGTAGACATATGCATCTGTAGGCATCTCCAGTGCTTCTTGCCATGTGAAGGTACGAGCATCAGTTTGTAATATTTTAAAATGGCAAGTTATCATTGTTTAGAATAATACCAAATGGAGAAGACAGACTTTTCTCCACAGAACTTCTCATCTTTTAAAAACAAAATATTCCTGTTTATAAAAATTTCTTCAAACAACAATGCAACTTTTATACCTTGTAACAGCTGTCCAAAAAGGCAGAGTATCTACCTTTGGTCAAGTCATCACACTGACAGAACAGAGTTTGGAGCTTCCCCTTATTAAACGAACGCAAAGAATTAAGCTTAAGTTAAAACAGCTTCTGAGAATTCCAATTTCACAAGCAAATTTGTCATTTTAACCCATCACCTTAATGTACCCAAATAGTTCGGATATTTAGCATGAAAATTCTGTTAACTAATGTTTTGTTGAACTAGGATGCTAGTTAAAAGTATCAACTAAAATACAGTATTATTATAGCCTAACCTCAATCTTTAAACATCTTGTTTTTACTGCATTCATTGTGACTAGTTTGAAGCATGCCTCCACGTATCCACTGCCTAAGCAGCTATGCAAAATTAGTCTACAGGCTTTAGAGACTCTCAGGAATAGTAAGAAAATGATAAGTTTTTCCCAAGGTATCCAGCATAGCAATTTCTTTAAAAAATTGCAGTTGTGGCTTGAATTGGTCGGCAGGAGAAACGAAGTATGCTGGCAACAATGCATTTGCTCTGGTGGGTTTTTTTTGAAACAACAACATCGGTTACATGCATCCCTGGTACTAGAGAGTTTTTCTGAAATAGATGAGGCCTAATGTTACCAAACCATAAATAGGGTAGTTCAATGTTGGTATTTTTATATGTATATAGTAAGTGTTTTGGAAAATAGTACTAAAACAAAGGCATCAAGTAAGTGAGGGGGGAAATGTGACAAATTGAACTGTAGAAAGAATGTAAGTCAAATGCAGCTTGGTACCAGCTGGTTAAGTCCTGTGTTCATTAACCAAGTAATCAAAAAGTACAAGGTCCCAAAGAAACTATGAATCCAAATTGTTCTTTATTGTAAGTAAAAATTTGCTCTGAATAATTCTGGAACCACATGCTTTTAAAATTGTAACAAACAGTATATTTTACTGTGGGTAATAGTAAGTTCTCTGTTCTTTGAGAAATGTGACATACGGGTTTTATTTTGAAAAAACTTTGGCAGTGCAATTGCATCAGGTTTTATTTGTATTAAAGAGAAATGTTAACTCCAACACCTTCTCATTTTTTTCCAAATAGACTGAGGCCAGGAGATTCAGCAGTGACTAAGCAACATACGTGAGGTTCCAATTGTTTCATAAAAGATGATGAAGCAAAATATTTGCTATGGTGCTAATAAAACCAGTATCAATTTTAATTGCATTATGAAAGGAAAAAGCAAACTATGGTATGACGGTCAATTCATTAATGTGGACAGGTGATTTTTAACATGGATGAGACTGCAGATGTATGAAAACAAGATTCATACATCTTTTCTGCTTGAGTAAATGGAGACCACATACAAGATTGGTAAATAGTCAGATACCTGTTACCCTGATGGTTGCTCCTGCTTGTGAAAGAGAAACAGACATCAAAGGAAAGAAAATTAGGAAGAAAATCCAAGTAACAAAGCAACCTTATGTTAAAAATACTTTTAAGTTTTCACAAAGCCATTTTTTGAGAAATGAATACAAACCAAAAATATTTATTACACACTGTACTAAATTTTAAATTTCTGTTGTATTCTATTGTAAGACTTATAAGCTCTACCATTAAGAGTCAAAACAACCAGCTCAAGCCAATTCTAGTGTTATTTCCATACAGACATTCATTGTGCAGCTGACTGTGCTATTTTTTGAAGACTGATTATAAGAATTTGACTATTGATGGTCTAATTCTAACCATCTATTAACATGAAAAGCACTACAGCCCTCATTCTGGGAACTGTGTTGGTATACTCACTCATCTATAGTAATAGTTTTTCAAGCTGAAAAAAAAGGTAAGACTTCTCATTCAATCAAAAAACAAAATCTCCTTAATTTACAATAAATAAAACTATTTACAATAACTACTTTTCTTTTTTAAAGTATTGCTTGGTAAGCTATAGAGTCCTGAATATTCACACTGTATACAAGCAATTATTTTTATAAGGAGAGATTTGGGTTCTTAAACATCACAATCAAGCTCTGAATCAAAGGATGGGCTTGGAATCCACTACCTCTCAAAAGACTTTGTATTTATTTAAAGACCTATTCTCAGAAAACTTCATATTTACAAATGATAATCAAGAAATGAAATAAACATCATTTAACTAAACTCAAAAAAACCCCAAACCCTAAGCTGGAGACAATAAATGAAGCTCAAAGTGGGCCTTTCTTGTGATTGCACAGCCTGCATTAATCAAAGAAGTCTGATTGCAGAGAAAATTATAGCTCCCTGAAGTAGTCTTAAACTATCTGGTTTGGATATTTTTAACAATATAGCCACGGCATTACAAAGCTTAAAATCCTGTTTATAGTGTTCTTAAGCATATTTTTGATTGCTGTGTATACACACAGATAAGTGTAATTTTCGTAATAATTTTGAACTAACTGCTTGCACCTCTTTCACATAATGATCAGTGGTAAAACTACATTTAGAAGGTGTGAGGCTTTCAAAAGTGACACAATGCAATCTGTTTCTATTCACAAAATCAGTATGTTCTCAAGTACCTTATGCCTCCATGTATATACTCTGCTGGCAACACTTCATACTTTGTAACAAACTACAAAAAGTCCTGATATTCTACCTGTATATTCAAAAAATGTCCTCCGGTTTTTGGCCTAAGTTTCCAAAATGAAAAAAATGTTAACAGGCAGAGACAGGTTCAGCAGAAAGAAAGGAAGAGCATTTAAAGATTTTTCCATTAGAATTCAAAATCAACTCACTGAGGACTGAATTTGGCTGCTTCATTGTGGTACAAAATAGGTATTAACTAAGTGCTTTAGTGCAAGTGGGCTTCAGATGTAGAGATAAGGTAAAATCTAAAATACTGATGAAAACTTACGTAGTCATAAATATCCGCAGCTGAGTTTATGTTTAAAAAAACCAAACACCAGAAAACAAAACCACAAATTTACTCTTGGTAAGAACTGGGCACAAATCCATCAGCTTCAATAAATTTGTGGTTTTATTCAAGTAGTGTATTATCTGCCCTAGCACCTGATACTGTAAAAACTAACAGCACTGGCCTTTAGTGAAGAGGTTTAGCCTTACGTATATATAAACGACACTGAAAACTTACTTCTGCATTTTTTAAACAGTACTAAGCAGCTATGGCTTTTCCTAGAAAAAGGGGTTTTTTTGAAAATAACACTCTAAATGGTCCCACAGAACAGAATATTTATGTTACTGTATTAAATTTGCAGATTATTTTGATATGTTTCTATATTTTATTTGACACTGGCGAATGGGGAGAAATGTATTTCTATTAAGTATCTATCAGTATCGTCTTCCTGCAGTGAATTATCATCAACGTAAAGCACCACATCATGCGATCTATAAAGCTTATTTTATAATCAAAACCTGCGTTAGCTAGTTACTATACAGTTTAAGTCATGCACATGTCATTATAAAATTAAATTTCTTAGACTGAGTATTCTTCCATACAAAGTTGTCAATTGACAACATAATTTTAAGAACAAGCTGTCCATAAGCTGTAAGTCTGTCATACGAAGTCTCAAGTTAAATGTTTAGTATTTGAGATATTAGTTATTCATGGACAATACCTAAGCAATTAAGTATTATCCTAGTAGAGCCTGATGATCTTTGAATCCAATCTTTTGACCTTTATTTTTGTTTGTTTGCTTGCTTTAGGTGTTTCTCACAAATCTACAGCATTCAGCACAAGCTGTGCTAATTTACATAATGAAAAAACACATATACAAGGTTCTTTTACTTACTTGCTGCTGTGAAGGAGCAGATTCAGAAGGCAAACTGTGAGATGATCGGCTACGAGGAGGCGGTTGTGGGGGTTCCAGACTTTGTGGGGCACTTGTCTGAGATGGATGCGATGCCACAGGTATGAGAGGCTCCTGCATCCTTAGCACAGGCAGTGGCTGAGTGGTGGGCTGAGCAGGTCCAGCAGCCTGAGGCTTTAGTGGTTCAGGAAGCAGTGGTGAGCCTGCAAGTATATTTGCAGTGTTTTTCATTGTCAAGAATTGTAATAGAGATCTTAAGAATGGCATGAATGAGAACACGTGGCTGTGGAAGCACCAGACAGAACTGCAGAAGAAGGGGCTGTAAGAACAGCAGGTGTTCATGGCAACTAGATTAGAAGTCATCAAAAGCTCAGCGCATCTCCATTAAAATTACTATAGATACAAAATAGAAAACCAGAAACCATGTCATTCTTAAGTCTACTTCAGTTGTATTTAAAAGTATTTTGGAAGTCACTACTATAAAATGCATATTTTGATATTAATACAATTAAAAAAACCCCTTTATCTTTACGTTTAGGAAGTGGCTTTGAGAGTCAAACATAAACACTATTCCAAATATTACGATTACGGAGCAACCACTGCAGAGAATGATCCAGTGATCAACACCTATGATAGGACACACCAATGTGCCCAGACCAGAACACAGCAATCTGATCAAAGTTTCTCTTGATGGCGTGAACTCTGTGGGTCTAGGTCTCCTCTGACTGCTGCCTCTTATCTGATAAAGGTTTACAATACCTGCCAAATGTTACTACGTTCGGGAATCTTAATTTCTAGTGAAAAACGAAGCACCTGTTGAAAACAAAGCATTCAAACCAGAGACAGTACCTCTCGACTGAATAGCGACATTTATATTTAACTTCTAAAAGTAAACTTACCCCTTGGTGGTTCAGCTGGTTTGGTTTGGGTTTCAGGTGCTGGTCTTCCCCCAGAGGGACGGACATGGCTTTGTGGTGCACTAATAACTCCAGCTCGAGGTGGAACAGTCTGACACAGTAATTGGTAAAAAGAAATTATTTTAGTTCTACTTTGCATCTGTAGTCATCTACTGTTAAGTGATTCAGGATAATTAGGACTCTGAAAAATAAATTCTTTGATAACAGTTGCTAAGCTAATTTTTTATGCACATGTAAAAGCAAAGAATATATTCTCAAAACATTACGAGGGTTCAATTCAAAGCAAAGGATTTTTACAAAAGTTTTCAACTTATATAAATACTTACCTGTGCAACAACGTTTGAAACGCTTATTATTTTGTTAGTATTAGTAAGTTAATTTTACCTAAGTCTGTGAATTGTCATAAGCAACAAAAACAACAACAACTTTATTTGAAGATCTCGTAAGGACACATTGATAACCCACTGTCAATGCAGGCTGTAGACACCATCTACCTTTTAGGCTATAATTATAGCCTGTCATTTGCAAACAACAGCTATAGTCAATTTTATATAGTGGAAGTCCAAGGTAAGCATAAAAGACCATGGTTAGTTCTTTTCTCTGAAACTTATGTTTGCTAACTGCAAGGCAGTTACTCCTGTTCCTCAGCAAACAGTATTAATGAAACATACATTCTGCCTCATCTGAAGGCTGGAGTCTTCCCAAACTTGTTGGAATAGAAGTTAATATGCTGGGAATGGAATTACTCTCATAAAACAAAATTAAAAAAGTCTACATCAGTATTTAAAGAGAAATAGGAAACTATTCCAGATTACAACTGAGGCTGAATGAATTACAAACACCACATATGAAAGCTGAATGTAAAGCATTAGAATAAAAATGCTAGATTTCACAAAAAAAAAAAAAATCATGAAGCAAGATAGTTTGTAAGATTTGTTTCCTCTAAAATTTTGTGTACTTGGTATATTCCATTTCACAAAAAAAAAAAAAAATCATGAAGCAAGATAGTTTGTAAGATTTGTTTCCTCTAAAATTTTGTGTACTTGGTATATTCCGACAAAATCTTAGTAACAGTGGATGTTCTAGAAATGGTTTTCAGAGCAAACCCCATTACACAACTCTACACACAAATGAAGCAAAGAAACTTCACCACTACAGAACAGGTATCATCCTTGACCTTACTTTTACTAGACGTATGTACTCTGCTTCGAAGACTTCGTATAACATCTGATTCATTATGCTTGGCTGAGTCCATTTAACAACTTTCTAAATGCTTTAAACCACCTAACCTCTGAAATATCTGTCTTCCCTTTAATTGCCAAGATGCATTTTGTCATTTCTTTGAATATTCTGCAAGTAGGCAGAAGGATGGCTGGATTAAATGCCAAAATGTATTTAACCCCCCCCCCGAAAACCCAAAACATCAAAAAGGAACAGAAAAGAAACAGAAAGGAAGTCCCAACATAATCCTCAGGAGCACCCAGTGGGAAGCGGCGCCCGCCGTGGCTACTGTCCCTGGTGCTGAAATCCTTGCAATGAAATGCTGCCCAAAAAACAACCTGAGAAAAAGGAAAGCAGCAATGTCAGTTAGGAAATCCAAACAAGGGTTGAGGCTTGAAAAGCCAAGCAGATCTTAGGAGATGTTTTTTCACACCTTCTAGTACGTTTGTTTGGTTGGTTTGTTGTGGGTTTTCTTGTTTGTTTGGTTTGGTTTGCTTAGGTGTTTTTTAAAGGAAATCTCAACGTCTGCAAAAGAAGAGATGCAGTCAGCTTTGTCTTGTCAAATTATGCTGGCAATTGCAGTACCACGGTCCTTTCTGGAAACAGGCAAGCATCTCTAACTGTAGTCCAGCCTGGGTGTTGAGAAGCACAGCAGAAGAGAACAGTACTACTGTTTCCCCGTCTTGTTCATATGAATAAAAATTCTTGCACTTATGCCAATTCCAAGATACTGGTGGAGTATTTTTTTACTGAATTATTTTGATTTAGAAGTCAAATCCTGTGCTGGCTCCAGGTTACCAAAAAAAAAAAAAAAAAAGTGAGGCACATGGTGATAAATGAATACATTCTTTCCTGTGTATACCAGGTTTTCTTTATCCAAATTTTAGAAGAGGGCATTTTACATTTCTGGGAAAATAACAAAAAAGTGCAAAGATCAAGAACTGTTCACTGTGAGAGTCAATCTCGGAGAAAAATGAATCAGCAAAAAGTGATTTCAGTGGTGGCTTTCAACAGCAGTTTTCAGTGGTTTCAGTATTGTTCAAGAGTACAATAGAAATGGCAATACCAGTAAGGTACAACTCCTTTAAGCTCTACAAGAACTCTGATGTCTCTGCACAGCTGGCAGCGTTCTTTTGTTTCTTGCTCATTTAAAAGGTGGAAAAGGACTCTTTTATAAAACAAATTTATATGGATTTAACTTAAACTCTTGTGGTTAGCTGCATCTTTATTTTAATGGCTTCTTCACACTCTCTCTCTCTCTCATTCGCAACAACTGGTCTATCACTTTACCTGAAAGAAAGGTACATCATTAAAGAAGAGGTGCAATATTTGTAGATAGGTCAAAAGCCTCATCAGTATCTATCCCACTGACATTTATGCAAGCAGAGTGCTTTTTAGCCTTTCTAAAGACTCATATCTGTGCTCTCCATCCTGCCAGTGTCGTTGTGAACGTTATCCCAATGAGAAGGGGATATGCCTTAGAGAAGGAAAACAAAGTTCTCTAATGAGCAAGAAACTGATAAGAAAGAGTCAACTTTTGCTGCTTTTTAGTCTGTAAAACGTTCAGGTATAAAGAGGTATGATCTAAGTTAAACAGCCTGGAACTGCCACAACAGAGAGAACAAAGCAAGCACAAATACTGTGGTTGATGTAGATATAGAAAGAAAAGTCCTTCATGCTGCTACAAAAATTCTCTCTGAAATATGCTGCAAAGTCTAAAGAATTATCAACAAGCAATACCATTTCTAAGTAATTCTTTAAGAAGACCTATAGCTATTAAAACACTTTCTCCTTCCCTAACGCAAGGCTCCTACTTGCTGCTGTTAAGAGAAATAAGGCAGATGTTTTCCATCTCGAGTCCTTGCTTGTAGCGAAGCATTCAAGCACCTATAAATCCTCCATTCAGTTCCTTCAGTTCAGTTCCACAAAAAAAGAATGAAATGCAGAACTAATGTTTGTTGAATGTTTTGTTGAAATAGTTGAATGTTTCACTTTTACATGAAGACACTTATCAAAATTAATTTTTAAAACAAGGTACAATATTCCATTACATATCAAGTAATCAGCAATATAATACATCAACTGCCTATATAATACGTTAACTGCCTGCAAGCAATTAACTGCCATCAGGATATACATTTCGGCACAGAAGATAATACATTTTATCATACCAAATCAGCAATGCAGTCAACGGGAGCATATAATACAAAGAACAACTCTGCAGTTATTTGAAAGTGGACACAAAATGGGGTATTACTTGGGAGCCTATGAAGTGACTGCAGAGAATGCAAAACAATAAAGCCATGTCCAGTATATATATTTTGAAGTATTTTTAGTCAAATGACAAGAATTGCTGAGGCAACTAACTCATGTAAGCTGTAAAATGACTAGTCAATTTTGCAGTTTTCTTACATCTGTTACGACTTACAAAAACCCACCGCCAGCATAATAAACTGTAGAAACTTAGGAGGAAAATTATTTTAAGATAGAATACCTACCGGTCTTGTTGTACCATATCCAGCAGTTCCTGAACTTGAAATTCCAGTTGAAGGTGGAGGCTGATTACGAACTGGAACAGATATTAGAGATCACTGACTTAGAACATATTTCAAAATCAATTTCTTTCAGTATTATAGTTAGTACAAAGCACATATCTGTATTACCTAAGTTATCTTTTCTTTGTGTTCCAGGACTTTTTTGTGCTTTGAAGCATGGAAAAAAAATTAGATTATCTTTGTTAGATAAGCTACAAACGGGTATTATACGGCAATGGTACATTATCACTAGTGGAAATGGGAGCAAAAAGACATCAGTGATTTTTTTTTTTTTTTTTAAATTGTTACATATTAAAGTCTATCCGTCAGCTAACCTGTTACTCTAGCACACTCTTATCCCATAGCACATGTGAGGTAATTTGACCCTTCTAATTACAAATTAAGTCAAATCACCTCCTATTTGTTTTGCAAGCTGAAGACGCCCACTTGTAGAGGTACCCTGTGTTCTCAGTCGTGCTAGAAGTTTTCTTTCACAGTGTATTCTGCAAATATTCTAACAGCAGTCTTTAAAACAAAAAGAACTTATGTAACATGCCGATTCAAAAAATCATGCGATCAGAAGAGTACCTCTGTAATTATACATGGTTCAGCAATCTACAGGGTCTACACCAAAGTTCCTGAACCTACTCTCTTTGTTTATGGGATAAATATATTACAGCACCAACCTCAACATTTACAGGCTGATGCTAATGACAACCTTGTATGGAACATTCAAGTTGTGAAGTGCAAGATACGAAAAAATTACCTTTACCTCAGACAAGTGCACAATTTCTAACAGGCAAAGAGGTTTAGGATTCTGGCTTGTATTTCTGTTGCCTATTTCCCAGGAAGGTAAAATCACCATGTCAGTTACAGTAACTGGAAGGAATACTCTGTGGTACATAAGACACTTTGTTTATCAAATCAGCTTCCAGTTGTCAGACAACCCTGCTTTCTTCGAGCTGGTTAGAATGGGTTTCTGGGTACAGTTCCTGGTAATGCGACTCGTACCCTGAGCAACCTGGCGCCAGTTTACCATACTCTGAGCAGGAGGTTGGACTAGATAACCACCAGAGGTCCCTTCCAACCTGAACTACTCTATGCATATAGTGGTTTTGCCAATTTAGAAAAGTGAACCAGCAACACAGCCAAAATTAATTGTAGTATACAGGAGGACATCTTGACTGTGACTATATTAAGACTTTTATTGCCATACCTATATTTGCTACAAAGGGACACATTCCTGAGGCGACAAGAAGAAACCCAAAAACATGACTCTGCTGGCATGGCTAAAACAGGACCCATTCAGCACTATACGCACATACTCCAGCTAGAATAATGCAAGAGAAATGCTTCTCATAAATGTATGTCACATACATTTAGGTATCAGAATCAAAATACCTACACCGTGCTCCTTAGAAAGGGACAAAATATTAAATTATAGGCTAAATTATTTAAATGGAAGTTTCTCTGCCCAAAATATATGAACATATGTAGTTCTTCATGAAAAATTAGGCTTCCCAGATTCCCGATTTAGTTACAGGTATAGTATTTACTCTAGCAGTCAGTCAGCTACAGCTTCCTCTGAGAGTCAGCCTTGAAAGTATTCTTCTTGATTAGTGCAGTCTAAGTTTTCATTTCATTTTTCATAAATGAAGACTGCCTTCTATAACAATTCACACCATCACTGAAAAACAGGAAGCAACTTGGTTGTCTGAAAACTATGTCAAATAAAAGAAGAAAGTTCCTACACAATAAATACCTTCATGAAACCACCTTTAGTATCACAAGGGCAACAATATTACTCAAGTATTAAATTAGAAATCCGTTTCTAGAATACAAAAATTATTATGTTACCTTCTACTTCTCTCCTAGCTACCCCAGGACTGGGAGGAGCTCCAAGACCTTTTCAGAGAAAGAAGAGAAGCTGTACATTGCATAAGAAAAGCAGTAGATTGAGAAAGTAAAACCAGAAAGAACACTGCCACAAGACACTTTTACATAATTTAAAAATGGCCTAGCTAGATTGTAGTTACTTGTAGGAGATAACTGTTTGTAGCAGCATGGGGAAACCAGACTGACACAAATTAGAGATCAGCAAGTACGATCGTGTTTAGAAACATGCTATTATTTCAGTTTTACATTACAGTTGAAAGAGAATTTCATTTCTTCAGTATTCACTCTCCACAAGCTTTTGTAAATTCAGAATGATATTAAAAGTCAGTCTTGAAACTCTCCTAAAGCAGAGCACATACCTATACTCAAACACTTGAAAATAAACAGGTACATCAGTTATACCCTGCACCATTAAGTCTGCTTCCTGTAATTTAGGAGAATACTACATAGTATGTTTCTGCCAAGACTACATTTGAATAAGCAATTTTATGGAAGAAATAAGTTTCCCACTTTATACAATGTCTTGTATCCTACAGAATCGTATCATTAAGTTATCTCCAAGCAGCACTCTGTACGTGGGAAAGCTGTATCAACTGGTGCACAGTAGATGTTACAGTTCAGATTGAGAGAAAGATTTTCAATCATGCATAACCATGCTGAATTATTTTATTTCTGCAATATGATCAAGCATATACTGGGTCCGTAAAATTGTATGGTAAGAACATGGCAGGACATAGATAATACTAGACGGTAAGTAAGGAGAAATCCTTAAGGCATGCGCATAGGAAAAAGTAACAGTAATATCTGGCAGCTCTGGAGTGGCTCAAGTATAGAGGAAGGAAAGGGAGCCAGTGTTCAAGAAGCCTACCTTAAAAGCAACTTTTGCCTTAGCGATGACACAGCCTCATGCTTTCTCATCATGTGCCAATGTGTGGTATCTGCTCAGGAGCTCTCTATGATCTGGAAAGAGTGCTGTGAATTTTGTCAGATATGGGTGGAGGTGTCACTCAGAGTAGGAAGAGTGAAGGTTGCAGATGAGGCTGGTATGTGATTATCTCCAGAGATGTCAGATCTCTGGTTTTGCTGAACATCTGGTTCAAAGATGTTAAATACTAGCATATGTTATATATTCTGGGTGAGTTCCAGGCTCTGCCAAACGACATTAGATTTCCATCGCAAAAGTTTCTGACAGTGAACTTCTCTGCGAGAGAAGCAGCACTGAGGAGGGATGAATAGAGACCGTTTGTGGGGGCGGGGCGCGCAGGAGGGGAGCACTGCCTGAGAACGTGTCATTGCTTTCAGGTACTAGCTCTGCCCTTCTCCCATGCAACCCAGAGGAACCCTAGGGGAGAAAAGAAAGTGGTAACCCATAGGCTATGAGAAGCCTACCTGCTAACTGGAGGAAAATAAAGGGAGGTGGAGAGCAGCCCAACAGACTACAGGACACTCCTCTGAACACTCTGTGGTTACAGAGACGTAAAGCTAACTGTTCATCTCAGAGTATTAATGGAAACGGGCACAATAAAACCTCTCCAAGAGCAGGGAACTAGCCTGTTCATTTCACAGATCTTCTGCACTTTCCCCTCCCAAAGCGCAACTCAGCCCATACTTTGAATAGGTATTTTCAGGATGCTCTTGTTAAGCAAATCTTCTGTTATGCAAGATGATTAATAAAGTCAACTCCTTTCAGGAGAAGGAAGGCAGAGAACCTCTTTGGCCATAGCACATAGACATGTTCCTACGTTGGTGCACCATACAGAGGAAGACTTCTGTGCATGAGGATTTTAAAAGGTTTTGCAAATTTAAAAATATTCATTATATGGGAGAGAAAGGGCATAAAGGTCAAATACCCCAAATTTCACTTACTAATAATACTCTTCAACAGTGATAAAGCAAAATTACGGTGCTGTGATAATGCTATCACAATTGGCATTATAGGAAGATTTTAATTTTCAGGACAGTGAAAAATGTACATCTGAAACTGAAACACATTTTTGGGTATCATTTTAAACTGTTACCGTAGTCTGTATATAGCTTGAAATCTCTATTGCAGTTTGAAACAGTATTTTGCAAGTAAAGATACCACATACTTGTTTTAAATAGTACTTTAAGGAAAGGGGTTGGATTTATACAGAAACAACCTGTAACTTACGCCCTGACATCTTTTAGACAGAGCTGCATGTTTTGCAAAGATTACATTTACACATTAGCTTAATGGAAAATAAAGCCACTCCAACTTCTCATAAAGTAAAATGTGCATATATGCACATGCGTGCATGTGTGTGTATATATGTGTATGTGTATATATGTGAAATCTAGGCCATTTGCCTACATTTGAACAATGCATTTACTGTTTTAGCATTAAGGCTTCTTGTTTCCTCCATTACTGAACATTCCTTCTTCAGCAAGGAAAGGAGAAAGGTGCTCTTCCCCATATTAAAAAACAAACAAACAAAAAACAAAAAACAAAACCCAACAAAAAAAGCTTTTGCAAAATGACTGCCATATCCTAATGCACCCAAACAACCTGAACTCTGCTCTGAAAAAAAAAAAAAAGCAAAAGGGGGGAAAGGCCTGGGGACCCATGCTGTACTTTGGAAAGTTGGATGCTTTTGCTCACTGATGCTGAGCAGTGGCTGGAGTTTTCAAAAAAAGCTACAGGGGAGAAATAAAGATGTTGAATGGTTCTTGCAAGGCTAAGTTTAATGTATGACTATAAATATCAGCGTACACTAGTAAGTACTTGCTGCTTGGGTGCATGTATTTTCATAGCTTAACATACTTGCATTTCTTTTAATGCCAACTTTATTACTGTATTTTCTACGTTTATTTTATTTATTTGGAGGATAATCACAGTGAAAATGTAATGCATTTTACCCAAATTATTGCATATACTGAAAATACTATGCATTCTCTCAATCTTAACCCAATCTTAACCCCATTTTAACAGTTCAAACCAATGTTAAAAGACAACTATAAGCCTCTCGTGCATTAATCAGGAAAAGTCTGACTAATGTTATTAAAAAAAAACCAAAACAAATGTTATTTTTTAACTTCAACTAATTGACAATTAGCAGCTTTTATAATTTTTAATGTTCTGTAAGAATTTACTCTGTAATGTATCAAAAAAAATCTTGGGTAAACAGAGTGCAACATTTTAATTTTTAACCATAAACTACTGAGAGCTTATAAAATCCTCAGTGGAAATCTTTCGTATTAGCAGGCAAAAAGTCTACACTTCGCAAACCCCTGCAATGAGTACGTAGCCTCGTTTCTTTGAATTCTGAGTTACTTCTGAAGTAAAATATGACCAAACTCTCAAAAAAACCTTAGATGCCCAAATCCTGCTCCCATCTTCAAAGCATACTGAGCCATTAGAAGAAATGTTATGGGCATCGAAGGGAGTGAAGCACTCAGGAAAAAAAAGGTTAAAACACATGAGAAAAAGAAAAAGTAACATTTAAAATGCACATCGTTTTAAAGACACGATCAATGTCACTTTGCATGTGCTACAGAAGTCTAAAACCAAAGTTTGATACGCTTATACAGTACACAGGGATATTTTCACAGTGCTTTAGGAGCCTTCATACTAGGTAAGAGAAACAGATGCCATTCCCCAAGCACAGTAACACACTATGACATTTATACTGCTTCCGGTCCCGTGCTAGCTTGCTCAGAGCTGAGCTCAGGTACCGCTGAAAAGCAAAGCATTATGCCTTATAAATGTATGCCATGAGTGGAAAACGAAAAGGATAGAAAAAGTGGGATGAGCTTCAGGTCAGAATAATATATGAAAAAAATATACTACAATCTCTTTTAAAAGACTGCATAAACAGCAAGTTTTATGCAAGTTACAATTCTTTATGGAAAGCTATGTTGGGAAAGAGGGTAAAAAAAAAGGCGGCTAGTCTTTGCACAATTGAGACAAACTAGGCAAACAGGATTGTGTCAGTGCACATAAAACTATATAGGACTGAAGTAGGACAATGAATTAAATCTCACCTATGTTGCGTGTTATGTATAAACTGGCTATTTTCTAAAACTTAAGCATTTTAACTAATTTGAAATATTATGCCTTTGGCATAACCACCTCCTCCCCTCAACTGTATCTAAGAGCCATGCACATCTCCGCCTGACATCAGATTAAGTTAGCTGATATTTATATACTATGTAAAATGGTTTAGTTATTTTCTGAGATTGCTCAAAACTTTTGAATTATTTTCTCAAAAAACCCTCTTTCCTACCACCTGAATGGCAGTGTCTGAAAAGCCATTAAGAAAGTATTTCAGAGCCACCAACTATTCCCACTCTATCCCATGCATCAATGAGCTGATTTAAGTCCAAGCAGGACAGCTCAACTATGAAGCGTGTGACGAAGAAGGACAAAGATTAGTTTCAAGAAGAAGCACTTCTGAGAACGTGTGAGTCGCTATTACATGCAAAACCAGATCAAGCTGGAAAAAAACAAAACTAGCCTAAAGGGTTGATAAGGCCCTCAACATCATCAAAAGGGAAGGAATTAGGGGAGAATTATTTCAGGATTTTGTTACTTTGTAAAGACCTGTAGCTCTCAAGTGCCTTCGAAGTAAGCGAATCAATTCCTTTGCTCAGTTTGTGTTTCTGAAGTACACGCTAGTTCCAAGAACTATGGAGGATGTTTCATGTCTCTAGGAAGGGCTTAGGAGCCCATTTCAAGACTTGGAAACAGAAAATAGACTACCCATACGTCAGCATTCAGCTTAGAGACAAATATTGCTCAGTGATTTGAGCTCTCTGTTAAGTGGTGATCATCCAGGGGAAACTGGGCCAGACCAGCAGTAGTTTCAACTTGAGCAATTAATTAATGGATAATCACTGCAAGTAGCTACAATCACAATCCATTTTACAATGCTCCTTGTCATGGACTGTGAGAACAAAAGCTAGCCTTTTCACAACTAAAGACGAGTTTCTGCTTTCACAGAAAAGTTAGCTGGGTATATTTTGACCAGGACAAAGTAATAAAAACCTGGAACAACTTTAATCTCTCTGACTATAACGTACCAACTTCTGGAGAAATATTTTTTCACTAAAACGTCAAATGTAATTCAGAGGGGGATACAAACCCTGAGAAAGAAACTACATTGACATTCAAGAATTACCCACTTTTATACCTTTGGACATCATCATAAGTATTGTCACAACAGACCACCATAGTAGTTTTGCTACGTAGTCATATTCGAAAACAATTAAAAACATTACCTCCAAATTCTTTTCTAGCAGGTGCAGGACTCCTACCGCCTTATAGTATTAAGAAATGAATGCAGCAATAATGAAAAATATCAGTACAGTAAGAGGGAAGAAAAAGAATGAGAAAGTTAAAAATGACAAGGGTCAGTTTGTTATTAACTAAGTTGCCCATATGCTTCTGAACATCCAGTTTCTCTTAGTGCTCAATTGTTTACATTTTCAGATGATCCAGATGAACTCTACATTAAAAACTTGGACATGATAAAATGCATGCATACTGATGCCAAAATTAAAGGAGCATAAATCAGTGAATGCACAAGATTATTTCTCTTTTATTTTAAAAATGAAGATGCTATAAAAATGAAAATGTTGAGTAAACACTGCTGTAGGAAGCCCACATTTTTAAACTGTGAAAATAAGTTTATAAAAATTTTAAAACTTATTCACCAAGCAAAGGCAATAATATTTAAATGGTACTGAAAAATGCTGTTATTTCCCATGCTGTTATTGCTATTAAATGTACCAACTAAACATTTTAGTGAAAAAATTGTATGTTCCATTGAGCCCCAAACCAATAATACAATATGTAGGTTGGGTGTGGGCTTCAAAGTTCACATCACAGACTTGAAACAAAATATTCCTGACCACCTCATACACGTCACCGCATTACCTGATGGTGGAGGCGGCCTCTGTGGCGGAGCAGGGCGTGCAGGAGGAGCAACAGGGCGAGGTGGTGGAGGACGCTTAGGCTCCAAGCTCTGAGAAGACTCTTTCTGTTGGGTACCGAGCTGAAATTCAGCTGAAGAACGTGACAAAAACCAATGCAAAAATTAATCACTTGTACATTCTAACCACAGTAAAGCTTTTCTAATAGCAAGTTATTTTCACAGAGAGGACAGTCAGTCCCCAGCCCTGGAAACGATGATACGGAAGTTTTTGACAGAGGGAAAACAAGAGGAATAAACCAACGGTGAAAAGAAGCAGATTTCCTAAACCGAGATTTTTGTCTCATACGCTTTTATCAGTATATGCTTTTCATGACACCCTGAACATTCTTACAAATTGCAGAGTTCCAAGTTTTGATTTTGACCCTTATCTGTGAACTAAGTGCTCTGGAAAAAAAAGTTAGAAGGGGAATTCTGAAGGCATTTTAGCAGTCTTTGTAAAGTTACTCCAAATTACATTGAAATAAACTGTTCTAGAAGCCATTCCAAACACTGTAATTCTAAATGTCCACTTTGTCACTAAAATGAAGTTGTGTTTAAACAGAAGCTTTCATATTATACACCCAGTTTACAGATCTACTGATTACAATTTACATATTACAGCTGATAGGAGCATTAATTGAAATGGGCTGTATTTGAAGAGTATGACTAAAGTGAACTAGGATTATACTGACACGTTGCAACAGAATTTCTGAGCAGAGGTTTCAAACTAATCAACTTAGAAAGCCTATTAATCACATAACTTTTTGAGATGTCTCCTTCACGATGAAATGCTAAAGAACTAGAGCAAGTTAGATAGTTTGCAGCAGCGTAGATCAGTGGACAGTGTGCTAAATAAGACTTGGGAAACAAAGCTCTTCCACTGCCTGTCAGGAAAACCGAGCCACAAAGAATGAGCTGATTTGCTCAGGGCCACTTATGCGTAAAATGCTAGATAATGACAAGAATAGCCTTTTATATTAATCTAAAAGCTCTATTAAAAATAATCTATGAGCTAGTATTCTACCACTGGGCCATACAGCTGCCAGAGTGTACAGTCGTAATAGAGGTAGTCGAGCAATGTAATACACACTGTGTGTGGAAACAGGTGGTCCAGGAGTTTTTGTTGGTGCTCGGCTCGGTCTCACTGGGAGCGCAGGTCCATCTGACAGCGTAGGGGATTGACAGGGACTGGAACGCGGTGAAGAGCTTGGGGAAGTTCCAAGACCAGAGCTTGACGTTGGCTGTAGATGCTGAGGAAGGATTTCTTCTACTTCAGCACTATAGTCATCAATGTCTCCTAAATAACAAACCCCACCCCAAAAAAGAGAAAGCATGTAAAATAAAGGGAACAATAGTTACTTATTTTAAAAAATGGGGAAATTATAAACTGATTCTGGGCATGGGATTTTCTGCAAAAAGCCCTCAAATTCCAAGGAATTAGCTCAGCAACCAAAGTATGATTCTTGCATCATAAAAAATTACACGTGAAGAATGCATATATATTCAAACCAGTTGAAAATACTCCAAATGCACACTATATATTATGGATATATATTATAGGCAATTATAATAGTGTGGCAACTGTAATGTTGCTTAATCTAAGAAACAATTAGCTTTACAAAGACCACCTTTGCAAACATTATTTCCCTGGTTCGCAACAGATGGCAAGCTTCACTTATTCTTCAGGAGGCTGGGCAGGGGATTTCACGATATCTGCTATTTGTAATAACTTCTGTTTGAAAAGGTGGAATGATGTTTAAAAAAAAGGTTCAACATGGACATGCCTTTGAAAAGTGAACTGTCAATTTAGAATATTTTTATGTTGATATTCAAAATGCCTAAAATAGACAATTATCCCATCACACCATAGTAATCCTTTCTTCCGTAACTTCTAGGCTTCTCTCTCTTCAGGTACATGAACGACACACAATGTTCTACAGAAGTTCCAGCTTCAACTCTGCACTGCTCAGCAGTAACAGAGTAACCAGGCTGCTAATTAGATATTAGCTCTTAAGAGTCTTGTGGGATTTGAGATGTCACATTTTAAGGGAATCATACCATTTCACGTAGGACTATTAATAAAATCAACCAATCATACAGGCGTCTAAACTGTTAAAGTTCTGTTTCCTACCCGCACTGGAAGTACTGAAGTATCTTATGGCACAGACGCTAACACAAATTCCAACTTTTCATACAGGTTTCCCATATCTGTACCTTTACCAAAACATATCTTCCTTTATGAAATACCTGTACAAAAAAACCTTAGTCTACTCCTTCCAGTATACATAGCTGCCATCTCTTTTCTGAAATCTTTTGCAATGTAATGTTTGCCACTAAGGATCTTTTGCAATAAAATGTTTGCCACTAAGGAGCTTGGATAGAAATTCAAAGCAAATGAGCTACTCGGAATAAATCAATATAGACACAATGACTATATCTAGAAAGTATATCTGTTCAAGAACTGACAAAAAAAGACTCTGTAAAATACATATGGAAATGCAATACCCACAGGAAGTGTCAGCAGGTAAGGCGTGTGTGTGTGGGGGGGGTTGCTGCTGTTCGAAAAACAGCTGTTTTACTTGCCAAGGATATAAGAAGAATATATTTTAATGCAGAGAAGAGAGTGAAGCAGACCTTTCATAAAAATTAATTAATAGATTAAAAAATAAGCTGTGACAAAGTATATAGATTAGAAACATGCAAGTAAAGAAAAGCAAAAATGCAGAGGCACAATTGCTGCAACAGTAATATTCAGCAACTTGAGGATTCCGCTAGAAAAGCATGACATGAAAAGATATAAAAACCCTTCAGGTAAAAACCAAAACTGACAAAAATCAAGGAACCAGAAAACAGCAACTCATCAATGCCAAAGATCAGCCTGCTCCAAGGAGCAACAGAGGTTGAAGGTTTCCTTGCCTGACTCACATTTGCCTGCCTGTCAAAGGCTCACCAGGTGTCTTCTTGGGGGTGGTAAGCATATCAATGCTTAGCATGGGAGCTCATTAGTCCTATTAATCTATTACGTGTATTGGCAAAAAAATAATTGCTTTGCACTCTGAGGTGGTGTATATCCTGCTTATAGGGTATCTCCATGAACAGTAAAAGTTGCCTGAATGAAGTGACTCTGAGAGGGTAGGTCACAGGATAAAGTGAGAAGAATAAAGAGAATGTCAGCAAATCAGTAAAACCTAGAGATACAGTGCAAACTGACACTGCTCGACAGGTTGTTGAGATACTGTTGGAAATAACGGGATTTCTAATTTATCTGTTTTAGATGGGCATAAACTTGTTAAATTAAAGTATTGATATATGCATTAAATTAACCACATTATTTAGGACTGTAAGCATTTCAAAAAGAGGAATACTTTATTTCAACACACCTTCCATATCATAGTCTGCAGTAACCTCAGCATCTTCACAAAGCAAAGTGGAGCTTGTCGATGAAGGCAGCCCAATATTAATCTTCTCTAGATTCATTTCATCTTCCAAACTTCTGATCCAATCTGGATTTTTCAAGCTTATGTTTATAATCCTTCCTAGTAGCTGAATTGCCAAAAAGGTATGCACAAAACAGAAATTGTTAAGAGTAGGAACATTAAACTACAGCATTCTAGATTTCTAGATTCTAAAAGAAAAAAAAATTACTGAAAATATCACACATAAGGTTATCAGAATTTCTGGGACTAAACAATGACAGTGACACGTCACAGAAATAATTATGTTTTTCACTTCATTTTTGGTAATTAAATACATTTATGTAGTTTAAACTGTTAATAACAACTATTTAATATTTTTCTAAAGAAAAACTAACAACTTGTCTCATAAGATTTTCCTTTTCAGTTAATAGGAAAGCTTCTGGTGTCTTTATTCCGACAGAAACACCACTCTTTGTAAAGAAAAACAGACTTGCTTATAAACTACATTAATAAAGTCATTTTTAGAGACTGATAAAAGAGCAGGCCTTCATTCTGCAAACTGACACATGACACTGAGCCCATATCCTGCACGGACTGCCAGTGAAACTCTCAGCAGATGCAAGGATCCATCTGCAAACATCACATTACAGAATCTAAGTCTTAACAGGAACATAGATCAGTAAAAATCTGAACATGAAAATTAAAAATTTTACAAAGATTAAAAATTTTACAAGATTACAGAAGTCAATGAGAGCTGAAATTTTGACATTTTTAAGTGACTGAAGTACAGGAGTGCTGAATTTTAAATAATTGCAGGCTATAAATATGATAAACTGGTTCATACTATAAATTCAAGGTAAAAACTCCGCTTTTTAAATCATTATCACCCCCCCCAATTAAAAAAATCCCTCGTTTGATGAAGATGCCCCTCAATATGGGATATTCATTTCTCTTACTGTCCTCCTCCTAAACATAAATTAAGTTTGGTACTTCTCTCAGCTGGCTTTTGAAACTCAACATAATGCTATTTGGCTATCAAAAGTAAAAAAAAAAAAAAAAAAAAAAAATTATGTCAAATATTATACTAGTATGGAACATGAAAAAACTTTTAAGGATTAAAAACAAACAAAAAACCCAACCCACCCAAGTATTCTTTAAAAAGTTGGATTTTCTCTTGCTATATGAAGGTTCAGTAATTTTTACATTACCTCAGTACCATTCAAATTCATAACATTCAAAGCAGAGCTTCCTTCCAAAAATGTTACCCACATCTTGTCTTCCACGAACCTGCAAAGTCCATTGGAAACAATTATTAAAATACTTTATCCTACCTACTAACTTTTGAAGCCTCTTATCTTAAAGGTTTTTCAATGTTTCAGTTCATGGAGAAGCATTATTTTTTTAAGTTCATTAAAATATATGTAATTGGATAATAAGCTTTAACTGAATGTATCCTTGCAACAAAAAAAAAAAAGCAAAAGAGAACCAGGTAAATATCACACAACAAAAGCACTGTCCTCTTAAAAATTACGTGACTACAGTTTCACATTCAATAGTAACTGTGTGACTACAGGTTAGATATTTGTATTAGGTGTTCCATGTTACATCACACTATGGACTTGGGACTATGCTCCTAGTCTTCTGGAAAAAAAACAAACCAAAACAAAATGAAACAAGCCCCTGAAAACCCAAACAAAATGCCACAACACTTGTAGTTCAATTAACAGCTTAGTAAAAATGCAACAATCACAGGGATCCTCTCACCTTCTGTTCATTTAAAACTACTAACCTAATTTTAGAATACAAAATTTGTACAAAATTACATAAATAACAAGTTTTAACTCTGACTGATTTCTGACAAAGTCAGTATCTCAAAAATAAAGAGTATCCGAAAAAACTAAGTCTGAAAACTGAGACACATACAGGTATGTAAAACTAATTTTCAACTGTGAAGACATTAAAGTTGAAATCTAAATGTTAAAAATGAAGCAGATCATAACTGAAATGCCCACTAAGAAAGTAACTTTATGCAGGAAATAGGTGGGAACAATGAAGAGGAATAGAGATTAAAAGTAAAAAGTCTTTTTAACCTTATAAGTATAACTTCACCATAGCTTGCAAATTTTTGAAGAAGATCATCAATCAAGTTATCATCAAAATAGTTTTCTTCTGCTGAAGAACTTCTGATGGAGACCATTACAGTACCATCAGGTGGTCCTTGCGTTGCAATCACCTCCTTATAAACTTTTTGTCTCTCTTCTGCTTCAATTTCAAATATGTCGATGTCAATCAATGCAACCACAGGCCTTGTAAAAAAATACACGAGAAAAACCTGTAAGCAGAGTATCCGAGCAACAAACTATATAACATGAATATTAAACCTTCAATGATTAGGAAGTAATGTATAAAATAAAACTGAAACCTATGATCAGATGTTTTCAGCTCTGCTCTTCCGTAGTGCAACAAAGTACCAGGATTCCATGTGTAAGGGACATTACTGTCATCATGAAAACTAGCATTCAGAAGATCCAGGTCTTCAGCTACATTCAGTATTAATGAAAACAAAAAGGGAAAAACACAGTGATTGCAAGAATATGCTTTAAAAAATAAGCTATTTGTAAAAAGAGAAAAAAGAAAGTAAACCAAAACCAAGTGTTCTACAGAAGAAAACAGAAGTTCCTTTTGAACTACTGAAATATCAGTAACTGGTATCTGATTCTTGATCCTCCTGTTCAGCGTCACTGTATTTACTGCAGATGCTATTTAAGCTTTCTGTCTCATACAAAGTCAGGGATAGAAGCTCAGAATCACTGGCACTGTGAATGTCACTCAATGGATTCTGTAAGCCAGTTAAAATAATATTTTAAACAATTTAAGGAAGCACTCAAACCTGATCGGTCAAAAGGCCATTTTCTTCTTCTCCAAAGAATACGATCTGTCCATGCTGGCGTGCGACATTTTTCACTGGTATCATAGTCATCAGAAAACAGATCATATTTGTATGTAGGAGCAAAATTTATTTTCCCTTCCAAAAATCCCCTAAAAATCTGTAAGAAACAAAGCAGTTATGTGTCATGCCAGAAGACAGAAACAGATGGGAAACAGCTTGAAACTAATCAGAATTCTCTTTTCTAACAGTGAAAACCTGTATACACATCTCAAAAAAAAAAAAAAAGTCATTTGATAATATGAATCCTTCTCCAAATTTTATCTGCTGAAAACATTCTACATTTGCCACTAAGACTAAATAGTGACCCAGACAGATCATCATTAAACAGAAGTATGTCAACATTTATATCTTTAAACCCAGGCTCATGAGCAATCTGCTGTTCCTCCGTCGTCGTTCAGAACTTGAGGTCATCCAGAACACAGATGCTGTCCACAGCACTTCAAGTAGTTGGTTAGTTGCTCACGCATCAGCAAAAGTTGGGAATTAAGGTTTATATTTTATGTACCTATCTTCTATGTACCTATCTGAACATGCAAAGCACTCCCTCAAATTGACACAAGATGCCCCACCAATAAATAGGAGTTAAGGAGAAAAAAAAAAAAAAGAAAGAAAAAAAAAAAAGAGTCCTTAATACATTCAATATGAACTGAAAGATTAGAGAGACAGTATCACCATTTCTTCTCAAGCAAATAGGAAAGCAGAATAAAAAGAGATATTATGTGAAATTATCTGCCAAGAGTACACATGGTATTTACAGATACAGAGTCAATTGAAAGGAATCAAAAAAATCTGTTAGGTACTTTGCAACATAAACAGATACAGCCAGCTGATGCAAGACCCTAGAAGGCCAGGAGATTTGCTCACTCCTTAAGTGTTTAAACTAGACATAAGCTAAAACCCTTTAGTTAACTTAACCAGCTCCAGTCTTGAGTTTAATCTTGTACAGGCAGTTTTATTTCACATCAGAGGTCTGTAAAATATAAATCTAACTCAGATCTTATAGTCAAGTCTGCACCAAATGACAGGTTAGCCTGCTTTCCTTGTTGGAAATATAAATTGAAATCCAGTCAATTTAAAAATCAATGTCCGAAGGTCAATGTCAGAATGTCAGAAGATCTGCAACTTCTGAGACAATTTATTAATTTCTTTGCCTTTGGCAATTATTTCTTAACCTACTTTTACAAAGAAAATTGCTAAGTAAATGCCTTTCCTGAACAGCAGATACACCGGTTAACAGCCACATGCAACAACCGTGGAGCTACCCTCGCTAGCCAGCTGATAACCCCTGCTGCCCAGCCAGCCACTTCCAAAGAATGGAATATTACCCCAAAGGTGCAATACTACCCCTTCTTCTTCCCAGCCAGGAGACTATTTTGAGTCTTTTTCATATTCTGGTAGTTTCCATAGCTTTATAACTGCTGGACGTGTCCCCAAGACCTCTACACCTCTCTTTTGTTTTGGTCCAATTAACAATCACGCTGTCCGCCCATTTGAACGTACACCTCTTTCTCTAGGAACTGGGCTATAAAAAAAAAAATTAAAAATTACCAAGTGTTTTTGCTCCTGTTCTGGTGCACAAGACACCAGCACAAATGGAAGAGAACTCTTAATTCAGAAAAAACACTGCTTATGATCAAAGTGCTGGCAAGCAGACAAAACAACGGAGGATTGTCTCTCATTTTACCAACTACAGTATTCCCACATAAAGCTGGAAAGAAAGAATACAGAGTTTCACACAAAATTTGATTCATTATAAATATTCCTTTAATTGCTACGTGCTGCCTCCCAGGAAACCCTAAAAATATAAAATCTGAAGCTTTCTTCAGACTTTGTTATTCCACGCTCTTTTTCTTTGTAAGTAAAAAGGTTTCCGTTTGGACTATTCCTTTTTCCAACAGAATGACAGTAACAGCATTAGACCTATTACTGCAGCAATTTAAAGTAAACAAAAACATTACCAAAAGAACTTCTATAAATATTTTTTTAAATATTGCACCTGATAAAAAGAAAAATATTCTAATTAGTAAACTCCAACACAAAGTTCTAAAAAGATGACAATGTCCTTTTTTTTCAGGAGAGAAAGAAAAACCTCACTCCTACACTAGCTACACCTAGCCACTGTATTTGTACCGCTGCCTCTTCAGGTCAGTTACTATGAATAAGTTACTAAATGTTGCTATGTCCCACACTTCCATACCACTACTTGGACAAAAGTGATAAGTAAAACATGCTGAGGATATAGATTTACAGAAGCACCACAGAAAAGTGCTAAAGCCAAAAAGAAAAATAAGGTATTCTTAAGTGTGTTAACATTTTTAAGATACCTGTCCGGAATTTTTCTGATTGATAAGTTGGTCTCCTGCTATAAGGGGATCCCAGTTCTGTTGTCGTATTAGGTCCTTAACCTCCTCATTTGGAATATCTATTCGATAATTAAAGTCACCACACCAAAAGATATAGTCATGGGAAAAGAGCATCCTTCCCTGTAAAACAGAAGCACATAATGAAGTTTAAAACAACCAAGTGACAAATATACTACTTCCAGGTGCAGAAGTTCAGTTTTTAACTGTAAAATATGCGTAATTTCTAGCTGATGAGGACAACTGAAATACATGTTAGTATTTAGGGTTCATACGGTTAGAACAACATAGCCAACTGTATGGTATTCACACATATAGAGTATGAAAGAAGAAGTAACACTTCTTATGTAGTTTGCATTTCTAAAGAAACATGAATCATCTGAATTGGATTCTAAAATTCTTCATCTTTCTACTCTTGTTTTAGAAGTCTGCTCTAAGATGATGACTGCTACCTGTGTCACAAAGAGGTTACAAAGGAGAACAAAACACTACCCTGGGACCTTGTGGCACAATATCCTGACAGAATGCAAATCGAGGGCTTTATTACTCAGATTTAATTGAAGACTTTTCAGTTACATACAATTTTCATGGCTAGGGAGAGACAGAAGGGCTCTGTTAGTTTAAACAAAGCCTAGGGTTTAAAGTGAGAACTTTTACTTCCCTCTTTGTTTTGATTTTTCCATTGCCCTTAAGTAAATCAAAGCAGATTCACTGGCAGATTAAAACAGCGGCATTTAGGAAACTATGGTTTCTGACAACCGTAAGAATACAGTACTTTCAAGAAAAACTGAAACATGACCATGGGGACAAATCTAGAAATTAAAAAACCCTGTAAGATAAGATGTCAGACTCCTGCACAGTGCCACAGAAACTAGCAACGGACAGTCTGACTACAAAATTTAAGACAGCTTTAAGTCTCAAGGAAGCATTTTGTTACACTGATAAAATCATCAAGTATTTACTTGGTGTTTGATAATCCTTTATAAGAATATGGTACAGAACTGTACAATCTAACTTGACGAAAATGAGTAACCAAGAAGTTAAAATGAGTTATCAAAAATCATTCTTGTGTACTGAAAATAGTGCTGTTTCCCATGGATTTGTTTTTTTCATAGTTGATCAACTCCGGTGCCTACAAAAGTTCATGCATGTCAGGAATCTATAAGGTCTCCTTCCTATGCTAAATCTTTGATGCCTAATGCAAGTGAATTCATGCTTCATCATCTCTATCAGTCATTGCACTGGAAAGGTCTATTCCTTCTGCAATCATCTATTTTAATAAAAATTGTGGGAACTTAACGATCTCCGAGATCTCTAACCCGAGAAAATTTGATTTCCACAGGAATCTGGGGAGCAGAAAAAAAATAAATAGAGCTTCTGGATGACACTGCTGGAGCTCAAAGGGTTTAACTTCTCATTCGTTACGGAATTTGAACACTGTTGCTTACCATTGGAAAACCGAGCTTGCGAGCTATTTCTACGAAGTCTTCATTTCTCTCTTTAACTTGTGATTGCCCTGCAGCAAAATGACTGCAGACAAAGCAAAGACTGGATGTATGAAACAACATCCGAATTGCTACTGCACCTTTATTACCAGTGGCTCCTCCCATGCCAGTCTTTACAGTGTCAACAGCAACATCCCTAAAAGAGTTAAACAACTATTAAACCTTCAGATACAATGGCACAGAAGTTAACAGCTTTAAGTATGTCTGAGTATGACATTATGTTGGTAAGAGAACATTTTCACATTGTTCTTTCACAGCAGTAAGGCCACTGGGCTGTTTTAAAAAAATGCCAAGAGCTATTGAGCAGGTAACAATGTAACACTTCAGCTTTTCAAGATTTCTTGGCAACTGATGAGGCATTTAAAAACTAAGATAAAAGAATTTAAGGAACTAGCTCCCCAGAAGGTGGAACAGCTCTTTTAGGGCCCCATACGTGTCTTAGTACACTTGTACGTTAGCTTGCAATCCAAAGCAAACTGAAGGTGACCCAACTTGGGCACAGCTGTGTGTTCACTGACCTGATAAAAGGAGCATGCTGGGGCCTGATGAACACAAAAAGGCAGACGCCCACCAACTGCTCAGAAGCCAGCAGCACATACTTGTAATCTCTTGATATAGTCTTCTGCAGTTCAGCAGCCCAAAGCTTCTGATTGGTTGTGCTAGCAGTGAGATTAAAAATGCCGGTTTTAAAATAAATCAAATTAAGCAGGTATCTAAACTGTTGATCTAGTTCAATAAACTTCATACAATAACCTTAACTAAACCTTGGGGTAGTAAACCAAAGCCAAGTTGTGAATGGTGCTCAAATGCCTCCTAGCAGAGACACAGGCTATAGACTGCCATGACATCATCATTTCAAATTCAGCCTCATAAAATGCTGCCTCACTTTTCTCAACGCCACAGACAATGTTAGGGGCCAGGGCTATCTTTCCTGTATTTCTGAGGCTAGACTAGAGGAGCAAAACCTAAGAATTTTTCTAGGGAGTTACTTCCTAGCCTAGAGCTCAGTCAATATTGGAAAACAGAGACGTCTGTGGTCTTAGATCAAGAAGAAACTTCCCTGGAGACCTAACAGACTATGGTTTTCAGAGCAAGCATTGGATATAAATGAAAAATATCAGACCTGGAAACAGCGTTAACCAGACATAGTGCAAAATTAGGGGATGACAAACCGCCACTTTGTCCTCAAGACAAAAGCCTGTGCAAAGGCTAATAGTTGCTAAAGTAGATGCTTTTTCCAATGAGTTAAAGCTTGCTAAACACCAGAAAACATGCAAAACAGGCAGACAAAACAATGGACAAAGTGAATACGATCCTAGGACTACACATAAAGACTTCATCACTGGCATCGCCTACCACTGGTAAAAGTATATTTTCGTAACCCACTCCACTAGGGGTGAAAAATGCAAACTCCATGATAATATATACATGTAATACATGGAATGACAGTGAAAACTGACAGTATGGAAAGAAGCCTTGCTTTATACAGATCAAAATCTGATGCAAGACACTATGTAAAGGCATACCAACAATACATGCTTTTGGAAGTAATTTCACAGGACTCGCTGTTCCCAGCAGTAGGAAGGCACAGAGACTGCAGAACGCTACGAGCATTGGAGGTAAATTCCTTCAAAGTGTTAAATGAAGGAAAAAGTTGAGGGGCTGCTGAAGGTGCAATCCAAAATATGGTCAAGTACTGACTGTTTGGATCCTTGAGATTACATTATACGTGATCTAAGTGATCACAGCTTTGCTAGGGAAAGCTGAGATGAAGTCTGCAATCCTGGCACAGAAACTGGCAGAAAGAACTGGAATACAGTCAGAAATTAATCCAGACTAATCCCAACCATTACAAAACTGGAGAAAAAAAAATTAAGTAACATTTTACTCAAAAAATGTGATTACCAACTAAACTAGTACTGTATAGATTATATCACCTACCTGGCATTCACAATGTTTCCTGCATTTAACTCCACCATTTCTTCAAATCCAATGGCAAATATGTCTACAGGCTTGCTTTTGCGATCTGCATTTAAATAATAAAAAAGCTATTTGTCACTTATAATTAACTTAAGAACCAAGACCTCATATATCTATTTTAATGTTTATGATCAAATTGTGAAAATCAGAGTTTTCAAGAAAAAATTGACAGAATACAAATCCTACCTTGGAATTCATGAATACCAGCTAACTTTGGTGCATCTAGAAGCCAGTCGGTGAGGGTCTGATTTCTAAAGGCAATACTTCGAAACTGCTTCCCCCCGTTGACATTCCACGTACCGACGCAGACTCTAATTTTTTTCGGTTTTGCATACTTATAAAAGTTTTCACACATACTCTTTAGCACTTTTACAGATGCTGCAAAAACATTTGAAAAAACGTTATTTTTATATAGCACGTTTCTTCAGAAAACTTGGCAATGAGATCTTTCCCTTAAAAAAATGGCAACAAATCCATGCACTGACATATAGAAAGTTAAACTGTGAAAGCAAGATGAATGCAGCTTTTCACAAGGGAAAGTACATTTGCAGACATATTACTTGTCTGGGTAGGATAGTGACTGAATGAAAGACAGTAGTAATTTGTTCAAAGTAATAGATATGTAAATAATACATAAAAGAAACATAATGTCTATGTTTTATAAATATCTGTCATTCTTTCACCCTATCTGTGATTCTCTATGGAAACCATTATTTTTCATACATGCCAACACAGGTATCTACCTCATTTTCAGATTACATTTATGAAATTCAATCTCCATTTCAAAACCAACTTACAGATATGTTAATTTCTAGAAGTGTAAAAATGACTGATATACTACATTTACTAAAATAGATAAGGCACATTATCCATGTTAGAGTATGTCTATTTAAGAGGAATTATTTTTTAGGTCAGTTGAATTCCTAAAATTCTGCTTTAATGAGGAAAGTAGGCTAGGATTCAAAACAATTAAACTCATTTCTCTGTCACACCAGCCTTTCTCTGTGCCTTGTTTCTATCTGCCAGATGGGAGAGTAATGACCCATCTGCAAAGGGCACTGTGAAAAACAAACAAACAAACAAGATTATTCAATGGTCAGACACTAGAGTTACAGAGATTTTAAAAGTCCCTTCATAAATCAGCTGCATAATATACTCACATAGATATATTTCCTAATGCAAACGAACAGATCTGAATATTTTTTAAAATTACGCTCCTTTTTTTCTTTAATCGCAGTGGAATAAAAATTGCATCAGGTATAAACAGTATTGTTTGCATTGTACTTTACCTAAGTGATATTAATTTACCTATTTTGAGTACTCGCATGGCTATGAGACTCTGTGAGAATCGTATAAGCAATATTAGATGGAATTCTTCCCTTCACTGTGTGCTGTCTTGCAAAACGGTCAGCTACTGGGCACAATATTTTCATTCAAATCCCCAAAATAGGACGATTAGTGAGCTGCTGTTGTCTTTTTAGTTATTCTTTTTAAGTTTACCACCTTTGAATTTGCTACAGAATCTTGGCTACACAATTAAAACAAAAATCAGGGATCCTCTAGCCCTCATGATTTTGAAACAAACTGGAAACAATAGAAGAAAATAATATATTGTATTTGCTGTTTGTGAACTCTTTCACTGCTAAACAAATCATATATCCATGTATGGGCTAATCACATATAAAAGACAATGAACTGACTGGTGTCTCTTTGGGGTACTACAAGCAGATCATGCTTGGGATCATGCTCTCCTTTTCATAACCCAGGTAAATGAAGTCAAGAAAACAGCAAGGAGCCAACAGAATACTTTACACTTTCACGGGAGAGCCAAATACTGAGTCTACTTCTGAATGTATCTACACACTACATAACAGTCAAGTCAAGAAGTCCACCAAATGCCAGAAAAGCCTCCGAGGGTCAAGGACAGAAGCTACCCAAGCACCTGACCCATCCAAGAAATGTTGTAGCCACGATACGTACAAGTACCCAAATCATCCAAAGGATTAGCTGAACCCGAGGAACCCAAAATAGCATCACAGACAGCCTTGAAGATCTGCACAGATTAGTCTTCATAGTACTCTGAGCAAGTTCAAAAGCAGAGTTTGGACTTTTATTCTCGCCACTTCAGTTCCTTCTTTTTCTTTTGCAAATTTAGCAATTTTCTGCTTAATTTTAAATAGTTGCTCCAAATAATTCATACTTACTACCAAGCAGCTTTTAAGAAAAGCTGCAAAATTGAATTATTGCTATTTAACTCCTGATGTTGTCATGAACGCCTAATGTGAAAAATCTTACCAGGATAGCATCTAACTTTAGAAGTGCACTGACAACATGTTTATTACAAACATGAAATTCATACTTTTAAACTAGCAAACTAGCAAATTGTAGGATGACTCTTTTTCTAAATTAGAATAAATGAATAAAGAAAAAAAAAGATTAAATTTTCATCTGTTTTCCAAAATACTCAGTGAGCCAAGTGTTTTTCAGAGCTCCTGAGCCTCCCACATACATTATTTTTCTACACATTTCTAGCTATTTATCTTTTCAACAAAATTGTGTCTCACTCTACAATGTTAAAAATCCAATCAATTACATTTTCTGTTATTTTGCAGCAAAATACTTTAACTGCTGTTCATACTAAGCAGGCAGACATTTGGAAATCAGGTCTACAAAGGGATAGTAACTTAAAATTCTTGGTGGGATATTCTGTGCAACTGAACCTGATTGAACTATTTTACTACAACATCCGAATTACTGTAGATATGTTTCAATATATGCAATTTGTATCCAGATGAAACCCACAGTGAAATGTTACATCAGGAAGTTAAAAAATAGTTGACATATATGACTCTTCATGAGTTGTAAGCTAGGCTGACATAGTCTACGTGGTAACACCATAAATTACAACGTGACTCTTTATTCCAATAAACAGTTTTTAACACTGACAAAATGCCAGTGTATCAGTTAATTTCAGGTGTATGTTACCTGTGACTCAGATTTCATTATTTAAGTACTCAGTAAGACTTAAGTAGATACAGTAAAACACTAATAGAAAAAGCAAAGCTGAGACAAATGTAAAGGGAAAAAACATTTAAAGCTCAAAAATACAGATTATGGTTGAAGTGGTTTTCCAAGGGGGGGAAAAAAAAAAAAGAAGCTTTAAACACTTCAGATGTATTTGAACAACAACCTAGCCAACAACAAATCCTCATGCTTTCTTCCAAGGATCCTCCCCTGTCAATCTTTAGTACCCGGGGTTAATGGCTACTACCCGAGCACACAGGTTGAGGGGATACTGTGCACAACTTCGCTATTCCCTTAAAATGGGAGACTTGTCTGAATGATTATTAAGAGCTTCCTTGCTCCTTTCCCTCCTCCTCTCCCTTTGTCTTCCCAGGTATTAAGAAAGTACTTTCTTCCTCTCACCCAGAAACTAGGCATCTGATCTGGTTTCACTGAACCTACTTCCAAGAGGTAGCACAAGCAACCCTATGAAGGCAATAGCTCAGAAACAGCCATTTAAATTTTCTCAACTCTTAGTAAAATCTGAACAGTCAAGCATTAGGAATATTTTGTTTTAAATAATAGTTTCTGGGAACAAGGAGATGATGAAGCATTGCACAGCTGACAAGTACTCGCAGCTCTCCCTTAAAAATATGGAATAGGTAGGTATATATCACATCTCCCCAAATGGAGCAGCTTCATGTAAACAGCTTAAGTTACAACAAAAAGGAGAATTCCCACTATGAATTAGAGAATTTTGAAAACAAAGTTCAAAGGCATTATGTTGCTTCTGTTGCTAACTTAAAACGATAATACCTAAGAGTTTTCAGAAGCTTCTTAAATTGAAGAGATCTTTCATGTCATTTTCGTCTATCTGGCTCATCCCTCCACATTCTTATTATTACATATCACTTCTTCGTGTTCACAGTATTGCTGAATCCTCCGAAGCCAACCTCCCATATTTTAAGCCCAACATCACAGACATTGGTCAAGATATGACTGCAACGTCTCTAAGTAGAAGATTAGGAGTTAACTGTAAAGTTCCCTCTTCAGGCCTCGTCTTCACCGAGAGATTTACCTAAATAGATGCTCTAATACTTCCATTTTGTGACACGTGCAGAGGTAACTGTATCTCAGTGGTTTTGACTGTACTTTTGCTCCACAAAACACAAGTGTCAGCATATTATTTCAGAGCATTCCAGTACAACGTTAACCTTTGCTGGGAGATATTACAAAATCAGTCCATCTCATGCAAGAACACAAGCAGGTAGAGCCTTCTAACGGCAAATACGATGAAGTTACAAATTGTACTGAAGAATTTTACCTCTTATCCTAAACAAAACATTTAGACAAAACAAAAATACAGAAGCTCCCAAACCAGATAAAAAAGCAAATTCCTCTACAGCTAGAATAAAGCATTTGCAAAAATAAAACCCAAAGAATTGGTTGCCTCTTTTCATAACTCACACCCAAGCACAACTGCAACATTTTTCACCCCTTATATTTTCACTTTTCTTGTATTAAAGAGCTTTTCTTGGATTAAGGGATTTTGGGGCACAGGAATGCCAGATCCAAACACTACTAGGAAAATGTGAGCCCACAACCAAATATTATGCAAATAGGCACAAGAAAAAAGCCAGAGAAGAACAATAGCTGCTCAGATATTTACAGCTTAATTTACTATACTATACCTGATTGTAATGATTGCTCTGAAACTACGGATGCAGTAAGAAGGAAACAAGACAAAAATTAGTCAAATAAGTAATTGTTTTTTTTTAAATTTTCCAGCAATATGTGAGACAACATGCTGTAATATACAATTTATTACACATAACCATTTGCATCAGTTAAAGCACACCTTTTATGCTGCAAAATCTAAAAAGTTCCACAACAGTATTAACAAATTCTCTTTTCTTGCTTTATTAATAATGGATTTACATATGATGAAGTATCTCTCTAGTTAATTCACTACCTAGCAGGCAACGCAAAGCCATTATGTTCAGTGAAGAGGGATTAATGTTCCTCAGCTGACAGGAGCTGCAAATATTGAAAGGACAGCTTGCATTCACAGAGAAAGTGAGAAGAAACGAAAATGACTTTCAACTAATTTTGAGGTGAGGCCAATTTAGCAGGTTTCAGATACAGGAAAAGTTACAATAATATGAAACCTTGTGGTAAAGAAATGAGAGGAAAACAGTCTCTCAGGTTCCACATAGGAAATATATAAATACCCAAAGGTGAAGACTACAATTGGACAAGAATTTTTTTCTTGTGCTACAGATTTGCACTGAAGCTTTGACACATTTTTTCCCATTCTAGGTTGAGAAGTGTCCAGGAGAAAGGGGGGAAGGAAAAAAAAAAAAGGAAAAATTAAGAATGTTATTAATCCCTAAAAATGGCAATAACCCACCATTTAGGACACTCTTATCTGGGATCTTGGAAAGAAGTCTCAAATTTAAGTTCCTTCTTTCCCCAAGAATTAGCTCCTCTATTTTTTATATCCCAGGAGAGTACTCTAAACACAGCCCTACACCTGGCCCACTTACTATTTCCCTGCCCATCAGACCTACAGAACGATGGGACATGACCGTAGTCCTGGGGGCCATGTAGGCTACACCTCTGTTTGGGGATGCAGGATGCTGCGGTTTGAGCTCCCTGTTCTGGTTAGGTGAACCACCTTCCTGTAACCAGACCACCCAACTCCCACACGGCTACTCTGCCTAAATAGAGTTTCTTATTGAAATCTCTCCGATTTTGATGTAGAATTTCACCCACAGCCTGACAAGCTTTTGTGGTGCATGCGTTCCTGTGAAAGACTTCTTCTCACAAAAAAACATTTTGTGATGGAAAGTCATTCATCAGGAATTTTCTGATAGCTCTTGTTAGCTTAAATTTTCTTCCATTACCAAACCCCCTTTTGTTCCTCAGTACCTTAGAAACCAAAATGAAGATAAATACCAGCATTCTTAAGCTTGAGAGAAGAATAAATGCTTTCTATCTATTTTAACACCATGGTGAGAATTTCTTCACTGACATGACAGATCAAATTAAGGAAGACATTTAGCAAACAATAAAAAACCCCTAATATTTTAATAAATCAGGATTTTTTTTTCCCAAATTCAGCACCTAATTATCATGATTAACACTTGCTATAAATGGGTTTGAAGAACTGAACAAAACATATCTAACATGCATCTACAGTAAAGTTCTGACAAATATGCTCCACAAATATTTACCTATTACACCACCAGACAACAACAAAATATAAACAGTAAAGAAATTACTGCAGCATGTTAGTTTGGTAATATTAGTAAAGCAGAAGTAACTTTCATCTTTTAATAAGCCAACAGAACATAAAATAGCATTTATACTTTCCAATATTGCTTTGAAAACAGACTCCATACAGCTTTCTTACACCAAATAGTTATCAGACAGATTAAAATCCTGAAAGACACATACCGCGTAAACTGCTGGTGGTTAAGAGAGCCCGTGCTTTATCTGCTAAATCACTATTTAGGGTATTTCCCAATAACAAAACATCAATGGCCTCCTGCTTGGAGCTATCAAAAAAGTTATTTTGAATCGTTCTGGTCACAGAACGAGCACCATCCTTCAGCTTTCCAGCCTGTTAGGGAGGAACACGTATAAAATATTTTATGTTGGACACTGCTCACAACAACATCGGCAATATTCAGTAACACATTTGTAAACTGCATTAATGATTTTAAAATCTAAGGCAATTTCCTTCTTTAAGTGTTAAATAAAGTCTTCTGAGCCTACTGTACTATGTGTGCTTCCCCCCCCCCAAATGCTAAACAACACAGGAATACCTTCAAGGCATATCTAACAACCAGATTATTCCAGTTCAAATTATTTAAATTAAACAAAATACTGCAGGGAGGAGAATAATTTATTTTCCTTAACCCTTGGTCTTCAAAAATTAAATTGATATAGTGCCATGTTTAGACCATGATACAGGATTTTGGGCTTTTCCCCAAATAGTGAGAGATGAGCAAGCACTTGAGTCCAAATGTCATGATACATGAAGATGTATGTATATGCACATATGAGCATATTAGTTCAGAATTCACATTCTGAAATATCAGTGTTAAAAAAAGAGATAGCTTCAACTCACTAAGACCCCTTAACTTTTTAAAATAACATGCAAGTCTCATGCAGTATCCCAGAAGGAACATATACACTGATCTATAGCTACATACGTACAAAGACACTGTCGTTGCACACACAGCACACAAGTGGCACGACTGAACAGTGCTCCGGAAGAACAGTGTCCAACTACCTGAACTAAACAAGAATCTCCAAGAGATGTACTGCTACTACAGATATTCCCTGTGGGTCAGACACCTAGAGGATAATGTAATCAACATGTCATGCAGTCTCATACTTGATTCAAAAACCAGCAGTGTTAATCTGTGTACACAGCACTGACAATGACAGGCACAAAGACATTTTCTTGATTACATGGTTTATTGTGTCTTATGCACGTAAGTGTATTTTGCCTGTGAGGTGTGTGTAAACACATGCTATTGCATGTATATGAAATATAGACCGTAATCCATCAGGGATGCTGCACGGTATTATATTATTGTAAAAAATGCTCCAAGTTCACAGCTTGCATTGTTCATGAAGGTCTCTTAAATGCATAAGAAAAAAAGACAAAAGCTTAAGAAAAGTACAAAACTAACCCATCATTTATTTCTATGAATTGTACTAGACAACAAGAAAGAAACTACTCTTTTGTCAAGGATAAGTAGTAGTAAATTGGCACCATGACTTTTGGAAGACAATGTGGATGAGGTGTTGGGGAGCATACTATCACAACAGGATTTTAATAGGATGCTGCTCCCTTTCTGTCAGACAATGTATAACTTATGACATGATCCAAAAACCACACTCACCATTCACATATCAGGCAATTAATTGAAAGGAACCCAGAGAAAGCAAAAGAAAGAGTAGGTAAGGAGTTAGATGTAACGAGTTTAGTAATACTTTAAAAAGGACTGTTTTTCAGTATAGAAATGTATATTAACACATTCAAGGTTAAAATATTTCTCCCCCTATCCTAAATCTCCGTATTTTTACTTCTAAGTACTCTTGGACTTTGAAGAATCAAACTGCCGAGCGAGAAATGGAAGAATTTCAATCGTCAAACTTTATATTTGAGAAATGAGAATACAACTAACAACTTAAAAACTACATTTTAAAATATATTATCAGAGTACTCAAGAAGATATTGAGTAGTGACCTGGTCAGGTTTCACTGAAACAATGGCAAGTATTGTATGGCTTTGCAAGTATTAAAGATCCTCTTCGAATAGATGGACTTCTGTCAGGGACGCTGTGTTTGATTTATGAGATGTGATACTCGTTAAGAGTTGTACCAGGGCAGGGATCCTGTGTTATTACAAAGACAGCAGAGTAAACATACTCTGTGTTTTAAACATTAAAAATGGAAGTGTAAATACAGTAAACACATTTTACAAAGTAAAAAATTTAAGCAGCCAAATGAATGGCAGAAAACTATTAATTTAGGAAAAGAAACAAGTAAGGTTGAACGAGAAAGTCAGGAGAAGGGGAGACACCCCATTAAAATACTTACTGCAGTTTTCCTGACGGTCTGGGTGACATTTTTATAAGAAAATAAAACTAAACATCTTTAACCAAATTCCACTCTATACTAAAATACAAGCAATTCCCAAATGAAAACGTCTTGTATGCACCAATTAAGGGTAGAATAAGCAACAAGTCTATTTCACTTATTTTCTTTTTATGTAGCTTACTGCAATGCCTTGTACACGTGCAGAGAAGGACCCTGATATGGTTTGAATGAACAAGTGATGGACAAACAAACAGTCGACTATGAGTACATAGTATATAATATGGAATGAGAAGCAGCGCATTCTTGAATAAAAAGAACAGTATGAAAAGAAATACTTGAAGGAACTAAGGGCAAAAATTGCTACGGTTCAACATTTGTTTCTCTTGACAGGTATCACGTGATAAGAGAGAGAATTATGGAAACAAAAAAAGCAACATTTCTAGAAGAAAAATAAAAGACAGCATTAGAAAATCTGAACAACTCAGGCATCAACAAAGACAAAACAAGTTGAACAGAAACAGAACACTACACCGTCATGTAGTACGGAATTGTTATCACAACATTAAAAAGCAAGGTAGAAACAGAATTTGGGTTTTTTTCAGTAATTGCAAAACTAAAAAGAAATAGCTGGAGGAACATGCAAGCAAAAAACACCCAGCTGCAACCTGTTTAATTTTAACACTGTTAATAAACACTAAAAGCACAAACAACAACATCCAGTGAAACACATTTTAAAAGAAAGGAGATATAATGAATGAAACTGAAACAATAGGAGGCAGAGGTACAGAGAGAAAAATGAAAATATTCAAAGAAACTAAAGCTGATTTGAAAATACATTCTTCTGAACTATGATCTAAAGAAATAAAAGTTTTGAGCCTCATCCTTTCCTACAGAATGGTGTTACCTGAGAGGCATGGGCATGGCTGAGAAAGGATGTACTGAAACAAGATCTGGTTATCAACATAACCAACCTTTTCATGTTAATTTTTTTTTGGTTGGTTGGGGTTTTTTAGGATTACAACAAAAGCACATTTTAAAAAAGAAAATCTCATAGTTGTTATATTAATGACAATTTTTTAAAACCCATACCAAATACTGCTAAAATTTTTAACAAAATGTACTTTACCTTAGCTTTTCCTTCAAGGGCTCCAGTTCCAGCATAAATTTTACTGACAGAATCACCATTCACAGACCACATGGATCGGAAAACTTCCTGAAAGCGAGTAACTAACTGCGGCTTCTCAGCTAATCCTAATACCTCCAGTTGTTTTGTTAGCATCTGCAACAGTTGAAGACAACATTTGTAAAAGAAAAATCTTTAAATGTATTTATTAAAAGGTACGTCATATTTTTGCAGCATATATGCACATAAAAAAATCTTGGGTTTATATGTATCATTCTGAACAAACTGACACCATGTCATGTTTGAAAGGCTGCATCGCACATGTAACTTTAGCACCAGCACTTCATTTTCTTTTAAAGATAGGTAGTAATATAGGAAAAGAATTACATAGTTGATTTGTAAATATTTTCATCTAAAAATTCACTAGTTACGAGGTAAGCTATTTTTGGTTCTCAAGTCTTTCTACTTACATAATTTAGAATTAGAGCAATTCATGTTCTTCCCAAAAAAGTGTAATACCAAAGACACTGACCTCTATTATCAAATGCAGCAGCAACAGAGCTCTGTGATCAGTGAAATAGCAATAGCTTCTGTCATTCACTCTGTTTTCATGCGCAACACACTGCAATCTTTACCCTTACAATCAATATACCTGAATTAATTTTCCACGATGCACAGTCTACATTAAATGCATTTAAATTGTATACATATAATACATATAAATGTATTATTTTACACTTAAATACATTTCTTCAATGTAGCATTATGCTTATGGATGTAGAATCGGACACTGTACCTTGTTTGAAATCCTGGTTTATGGAATCATGATTATTTAAAAAAGTCAAGTAAGTTTCTAGTGTTTGTGGCTACCAATAATACTGAAAATGAATACCAAAAATTAAAACTAAATAAAAAAGCTATTTTCAAGAGCTTTCAAAAATCTTTAAAACCTTGAGGTGTCCAACGGCAAGAAGGAGGAGTCTAAAATGCTGAACATAAAATGACATAAAGGCAAAATTCTGAAGGTTGGGCAGCAATTAACAGAAGTTACAAAAGGAAACTTGCAGACAAAATTAAGTAGAAATAAACAAGAAAAGAAGCTTCAGAAACTGGGTGCTTCAACTTGTAATTTTAGGTGGTCATCCAGAGCTCAGTACTTGTTATATGATGTATCTATCATGTTTAAAAAAAGCAAGAATTTAAATATCTCATTTAAATAGAATTTTAAAATTAAGTAAGCAGCTCATGAGGATTTACCATTTTCCTTCTTATTAACTAGCTTTATACTTTTAGCTCTCATATTTTAGCTGAAATCATAATTTTAGCTCTCACCAAGGAAAAATTTGGCACACCTGGTCTAAAAAAAAAAAGACAATATTTAATTCAGTTCTTAAAAGGATAAATGAAAAAATAGAGCTGCAAAGCTAAGTTTGCCATATAAGTACTATACACATTAAGAGTGTATAAAGATTTGTTCTTATGCCATAGAAAACTACTGTATTATCAGTAAAATACAAGAGGCAATGTTTCTCATGGCTCATTTAAGATAACCTAATCGCTTACTTGCATTTCTATCTACAGTGAACTGTTAAACTCCAGCAAACAGAGTTAGGACCAGGAAAGACTTTAAGGTAATCATTTGTCTCTCACGTGGCAAAGTCAATACAGGATGGACAGATACACAAACTACATAATGCAATACAATGCTGTGAGATATTCAAAGCATGCCGCTACTCTTTTCAACACACAGTGAACTAAAGGAAAGAATTAGTTTTCTTAATTTTAGTAATTAAAAGGTGTGACCCCCTATGGTACATGCAGAGCTGAAACAATGGAGAAAAAAGGCATTAGATCTCTCAAACTGTGTTGTATCTGCTACAGTATGTACTGATACTGAATGTTAAGAGAAAAAATTTCAGAGTATTTGCATGAGGGTAAACAGTTCAATATTCCCTTTGACTAAAACACCAATGAACTGGCAACAGTTCACTTGGTAAATGCAGCAGCAAAGCACTACATATTCCAGAATCGGAAATGTTTGTTCTACAGCCAATGGATTTTGCAGCTCTCACAGGAATTCCTCCTGTAGACGCTAAAACAAGAGCATTTTAATTAAATAAAATTCAGAAAACAAAAGAATAATCCTTTTACTTAGTTTGATTTTTCATTTTTAAATGCGCTAAGGATTTTATCTTTAGGAGTCAAACTTAGTTTATTAAGATGAGTAGAGCTGTCAAAAGTTTTTCAGAGCTACTCTTTTAGCCCAATCAGTACTATTTTACTCCATCAATTCCTATCAGGTTCATGTGTTCAAGCTCTACTGTATGAGCCTGAAGGCTAGAACCTTTGTTTCAATAGCAAGCCAATATACTGAAGCACAACCCTGCAGGAGGATTGAATCCCACAGTTAAGTTTCCAACTACTCAATTTGAGTGTGGCCAAAGCTTCAACCATGATATCGTCCACGAAGAATTCACAGCACAGTGCTGTGAAAATATGAACACACAACACTGGCAGATGCTAAGAACAGTAATCCTATGTGCCGAAGAACTTTATCTAATAGAGTAACTGTGAATGCAAGCGCTTCTGTGAAGGACTACAACACTACTACCTCTTCTAGAACTGCAAGCCTGAACCTTAACAGACATAAGAAGCTGACACCTAAAAAAGAATGAACATTTTTCATAATGCTGCATGACTACTATTTAATTACAACTACTACACAACTACTGCTTCTGTAACTACTAAAATCTAGTTACCCCAGAACAAGAAAGTATCACGCTGTAAGTCAAACTGCCATCTACGAAACATTTTAATGCATCTTTCATACGGAAGGTAATGCTACTTTTACAGCCTAATTGCTACAGAAGCATCAGGAGCAGTTGTGTATCTGGACACTGTTTTTCCCACCTCTAAGCCAAAGAAAGCCTGCACGCTGTTTGTTCTATCCAGACAGTCCAAGCAGTTTGTTCTGACAGTACCGCTTTGAGATCTGTGCCAAGAACAACGAGAGACAGAGAGAGAAAACAACTGAAATAACTCATTTAACACACACATCATCAACAAAGACAGGGACATCAAGATCTGAACGAGAATTGTAAATCAGGGTATTGTCAGTGCAATGTTACTGTCATCGCAAATATGTTTATAAATGCGTCAGCAATAGAGGGTTAGCTCAAATAACAGCAGGGAATTTTGCAGCAGTGTTCACTATACAAAACTAATTTATTTTCTGCAAATAACATGAGTCTTTCTTCTTCAGTTTTTCTCAATTCTCCTTGCTTGCTCAGTTAAAGTGTTATGCAGCATTCAGTCTGCTTTTCAACCAATCCAACTAACACACTTCCCAAGAATCTCAGAGGGAAATAATAACTCTTAGTTAAAACAAAAATGAAAAAAAAAAATATTAGGACAGTTCTTAGATTTGTTTAACTAAACTAAAAGTAACAAGAATTTGTGATAAAACTAAAGCCAATTTCAACCCCTCATTACTTTCTCTTTCCTCCCCAAACAAAAATGAAAAATAAGCCTCTCCCCCTTAGCTCGACAGATGCTTGAGGCCCTCAGGCACTCTGAACTGCTCCCCTTTCTCTGAGAGAAGGACATTAACTTGTGCTGTAAAGCTCTCGGAAGGATCATATTAGGCAACATCCATGTTATTCTTGCCTGGCTATGAGTACAAAATTCTGAGGGCTTTCCCAATGATACACACTTACTCCTTACTTTCGTCATTCCCACTACACACTTTGTCCAATTAAGTCAGTGAGGCTTCATCACATTTACTTGGAGATCTAACCATAAATTGTTGAAAGTTTTGAAGAACTTTCTCCAAGATTATTTTTTTCATTACTATCTCTGTATTTGATTTGAAATACAAAGCAACTCACTACCTGTGTTAGAAAAAAACCCTGACATTCTCCAAAGGAGATAGTCCACGAACTTACAAAAATCGTCACTGTATCTTTTATTAATGCAATTCTTCAAGCTATCACAAGCCACAGCCTATTTTGCTTTCGTTCTGTTGTCAGTCTTTTTGATGGGTGATAATATTATTTGAATCTCCAGATTAAGACCAGATGGTGTTCTCCCAACACAAAGTGTCACACCACTTTTAAAGCTTTTTGGAGAACGGTCAGTGACGTTTTGAGGTGGAAATGGGACCTAAGCACCCTCCCACTAAATTTAATCTTATTCAGGCCTACTAAAATCTGCCCCTGGGGGATTTAATCCCACAGCCACGTTAGAGCACAGAGTGGCACTGGAACCCTCTTCTCCTCTCCCACTGCACTAGAAGATGAAACCCCACTGCATGTGGCACAATCCCCTCACTCAACAATTCTCTTTCTCATGGAGAGCCTCACTCAGCAGTTTGCTCTGGTATTAATTAAAAGGAGGAAGGGTGTGGAAGGGAGAAGAGCAGGAATGTTGCCTATTTCTAGCCCTGCTTCCCTTTTCCTGCTGAGATAAGCACAGCCTTTGCTCTAGGAAGAGGCGTGGGGAAATAGGGACAGAAGTACAAGTAGAGCAGGACTGGGAAGTACAGAGCAGGGCAGAAAACATGCATCCCATTCATACTTTGTGGAGAACTGAATCTCTCAAATGGGGGATCCGGGTGCAAACAGATTTAGAAAAAGATTGCACTGAACCTCAGCATTTACAACAAACAGAAAACGGTATGTTCCATCACTGAGGAAAATATGAATAACATTATACAGGAAGATGGAAAAATATTCATTCTTTAATTCCATATGGGTGCACACAAGAAAAAGGACAACTGCCCATTTTCACCGAAATCATGAGGTCAAAGGCCTGAAATTAAGTCATGCCCCATCAATGTCTCAGAGATTTTTTCCGTTAACATTTTTAGACCATATTCAGAACGAGACAGAATTTTAATAGAGTAAATTCAGTGACTCCTATTTCAGTTGTTGAGCATCATCTCGGACACAAAAAACCCACAATAACAGAAGTAACATTTTTTCTCTTATCTTCTTGCTAAGGGGTGAAAAGCATCCCAGAACCATAATTTACTTTGAAGAAATTTACAGGAGTTATACACACAAACCTTTTAACTTCCTTTCCATCAAAATAAAAAAATCCACACTCTAAGAATTTCTGGACTTGAGGTTTAAGCACACTGTGTAGTTTTTCTGCCTTTCCACCTTTAACCATTTGATGATAGTCGAAGTTAACCATTTTTATATCAGCTGAATGTTCAGATGCTTTCAAATGGCTCTGACATTGTAAAAAGAGAAGAAAAAAGTATAAATACACCAATACCTGAACATGTAGTATAAGCTAAACAAGAGGCTACAAATATTTTTAAAGCTGTTTTATTAGCTGTCTTGTTTATGACAAGCCTTCTCTTAGGTAAAATGAAACCATTTTTATCACTATTGTTCAACAAATCACTCAGAACTGATTAATATTTTGCCTGTGTTTTTTCTTTTTCTTGTCTCAAAGTAATTTTTTTTCTCCTTACTATACTAGGGGTCACCAAGACAGTCTACAGCCTCTTCCACTGTTAAAATGCTTCAATTTGCAAAGACCTGTTTCAGTGGAAACCCCTTTTACTAACAGTCACCTTTTTAGACATACCTGCCAGCAACAGGGACTGAATAAACACTCCGTAAACTACTACCGAAAAAACCAGACAAATTATTTAGGTTGCTGTGGAGGGTGGCTTGAACAAAACTTTCCCTAATATTCCCTGAAAAATCTTGACGTGCTCACACAATCTTTGTTGGCAAAGCTATGGTCTGCATTGGGCATTGATATGCATCTGGGAGCACTAACGTCTCCTACCAGGAGAGCTGGATACAGAAAAGATACTAGTGAATGGCCTAAGATATCCAACCATTATAATACAAAGGGAGAAGGGAAAAGGAAATAACAGATGGCTATTGGCACGTTCTCTGGCTTCAGACAGAACTTCTCAAATTGTCAGTATTTCTGGACTACAACGTGACAGTTATTTTTAACCTAACTAGTGGGAATTCATGAAAATGGCCACTTACAGTTAACATCTTCTGAACAAACATTTCTATTTAATCATGAAGCAACTTTTACATTTAAATTGATAAATTAATTTGTGATTTTTTTTAAATATTAAGGAATATATCCAGGAATTCCAAGGGAAAGATTTTTAAAAGAAACATCACAGTATTAAATACCACAAAGTATCATTTATTTATTCACCAGTTTTATAGTGAAAAAAAGATTCATTTTTTAAAATAAGCCACTAATAAGCATGAAATATGAAAATAACTGAAAATCCCTCAACATTGTCAATGTTGCTGTTATTACTTTTCAGTAAAGTAACCAATCTGAACATAATCAAACACTAATTTTAGAGAGCTTTTACAAATTCATTTCACATTATGTATCTTAAGCAGTGCTTTTATGCTAAATACAATTTTAACCACAAGTGGTAGTTGCTCCAGAGCATAGTATACCTATTTCATTTTTCGAAGGCTATATAAAAGCTTCATTGCAAACAGCCAAATTCCAAGGATATGCATAGTGAGAGAATTATCATACTCACCTGAAAAGCTTTGCTGAGCATGTGCTCCCCTTCTTTTGACCCAAGTAAATTTACAATAATTTGCTTGCCATATAAATTTTTAAGAGTTTGGAAATGCCTGTTAACAGAAGAAAAATTCCACACTCATCTTCTGGCATGCAGAAAATTAACATGAACACCTGCAACACTGACTGAGATGCTGCAGAAATGTAGTGGGTACTCCGAGTAACTGCCGCAAGCCTTTTATTATGTCATGTTGAAACAAATCAATGTAACTCAATAATAGCATACAACCACTGACTGCTATTTAATTAGGATAATAGCACCAACTTAACAACATACATTTAGTTGAAACCATAAGGCTGTGAAGCTGAAGTGTCATGGCAGGAATAAAATAAAAATATAAATTTTACTTTTATACAGCAGCTGACATATAGATTATTCAATGTAAACATGCTATAATTTTTGTTTTCAATTTAACAAAGTATTTTGCTATTTTAAATTTTCTTCAAACTTTTCAACAAAGCACTCAAAGGCACAAGCAATCCCGTAGAAGTTTGAAAAAGCTGCCCAGGCAGTTCGCTGCTTTGCTGAATCACACATTTGTATAGACAAAGCCTCTCATTTGGAATAACATATCCCATCCCTCTGATGCATCACTTATCAGAGGTTTGTAGTGCATTAACAAAAATTTAAGACATTCTTTCACCTGTCAAAAGCTGGTGCATTCGCCTCAAAACCCCTTGACATTCTGACACGATGGGATCCCACCTATGACATGAAGATTACATTAAATTATTTGTCTTTACACATTTGATTAATCATTCTTCAAAGACCTCTTTTGATCCTAAATATGGCCTAAAAATTAATTTCACTTTCTAAATGAAGTCTCCAAAATTTATTCTGCTTGCTATGATGTGCATTCTTTTTATAGGCTTTTCCTAAATTCCTCTTTTTTCTAAAAAACACTTTTTTTCTTTAATATACTTAGTCATATCATCTAATTACTTCTTGTTTTGAGTAAAAGGCATGTAAATGTTTCAGCAGTTCTACTGCAAAATGCTTATATGTCTAGTTTAAAGAACCTAGAGTCACTGAGGCATGAACTTTTTTTAACCTTTCCTGTAAAAATTGTATCACAGTAGTAGTTGCATGTAGTTTCTTTCAAGAAAACTGGGATGAAATTATATTACAGTAACTCTTGATCCATACTGACTTCTTGAAAAGACTTATCCTCAAGAACAATTCAGAAGAAGACATTCTCTTTGGGTGCCCTTAGGCAAACTATTTTAAAATTGCAATTTAAATTAAACCAGAAAAAACTCAGAACTTCAACAAGAAAACATCTCAAAAGCAATGGACCTTCAAATCTTGTGCAAAACAGCATTCAGAGACTCGAGAGTAGCAGTATTGGTGAATTAAACAATAGCACCAACTTGGCCCCAAAGGATAACCTCATCCTGACAGGTAACTCTGCAGAAGAGCCTAAATGCTACTGTAAGATGTTTAAAAAGACATGAATAAGAATTATCTGTATAATTAAATCTATCTCCTGCTTACCTGCAGGCCGGGCTGTTCCCAAAATAATGGAACAGATCCTCGAATCTGTATGAAAGACGACACAGAATCATCTAAAAATATCACCTGTTAAGAAAAAAAAAAAGCATAGTATTAATAGGTATTACAGAGTGTAAGGTTTTAGGTTTCTTAGCCTTAGCTAAACATAGAGTAAATAAAATATATTTACATATTACATATTCCACACTACAAGCTAATATATTAATTGTGTTCCCTAGACTTTTCTCTCTATCCCCTCTGAACAATTCATAAAGGAAGTTCTGGCACTCTCATGCTTCCTTGCAGAACCATGATTTACAACATCTAAGAAAATACAGCAAGCTTTTCTTATTTGGGCCTGAATGACTTCTGTGCTAAGAGTAACTTGTTTTAAAAATCTTGGTAAGACCTTCCTGTAGGAACAGTTAAAATGTATACCAATGCACAGAAAATAACAATGCAGCCAGTCAGAACACCCGCACAGATTTTGTGCATCAGAATCCAAAATACAATGGTCTATTAAGTATACAGGAAAGGAAACTTTAAATGGAATGATATGCCACAGTCATCTAGTGACATTAGCCTGCCAGGAAACTTGGACAGAGAAACTGTACAAGAGTAAACTCCTGAAATTGGATGTGTACAAGCAGAGCCCTTCCTGGATAAAATCCTACTGAAGTCACCCAGGCTTTGCAAAGAGTCAGTGAGTCAACCAAAGATACCTACTCACATGAATACAGTTGCAGGAACAACATCTTGGTAACTAGGTTATCATAAGAAGTGAGCCTTCTTTCATAAGAAAGGCCAGCAAAGAATGATTTAATAGCTTCTTGCATTTCTGTATAATAAGGGCAAAGATACACAATCAAATGCAGTGGCATTACAGTGGCTTTAAAAACTACCTTTCAGAGGAGCTGTGTTAAGCAACCATAGGAATGCTTTTATCTTTCCTGAACCACAAGGTGCCAGGTATTTGCCAAAAATCTCTTTTGCTTGTTTCTAAGGTCTTTTACTTTACTACTAGCTCAGGCCAAAAGACGTACACACTCACCTACAGCTCAGGTGGCTAAAAGGAAGTACAGCCACCTACAACAGTTCAGTTGATGGATAACAGCTTCTTAAGCTATTGAAACTCAGACCCATGAATGCCCTTACCCTAAGCTACGCTAAAAACCAAGATTGTCAAATTATGTAACCTACTTAGATTCCTTATTTAGCAGCAAAGGAACTATTCCAATATCTGTGGGTTACAGACTTGACTTGTGATCTGTTGATCTAGGGCAAAACACTATCCACACACATGCTTATCTTGAGTTCATCAGCCAACCAACGTGAACTGTAGTGTAACATACCTGCTCTGTTTCAACGAAATTAGCAACGTGACCATCATCGTTTGTTCCCCGGACATTAAATCTGGTGCCAGCCCGTTCACAGCTTAGTCGTGAAATGAGACAAGCCTTTGCCTGCTTATGAGCCGCATAAATTGTCCTTATCTCCACTCCTCCACACATGAGACGTAACAACCAGTCATCACAGTTCACACCATAGTGCTTCAGATGTAAATGCAGTGACTGGTTCCTATCAGGAAAAAAAATTAAATAAAATAACTGGAAGGAAATAAAATACAGCTCAAATTGTTAAGCCAGCTACTAACTTCTTATATTTTATGCCCACTACTACAAATAAGAAAAGGAAAATACGCATGTTATAGTTTTATGATATAACTCTTATTGAAACATACTTGAAATAGCAAAGTTCACAAGAGAACAGCTTAAACATTTGCACAATACGAATATGGGGCGAAGCCATGAATTTTAATGACCTCGAAAAAAGAACCCTTATAGCCTCTGCTCTTCACCCAGCAAAAAACAACACTCCAAGCTTGTTTGTATTTCTCCACTCAGCCTCGATTTGAGAAGCCAAAGATTACAGATTCTGGGAAAAGCAAGCCAGAATTCCAATTACGGGGTTACCTTTCATGATGAGTAAAGCACCATTCAATTTCACACTAGCACAAAATAAAGCTAGAAAAAAAATTCTTGTCAACATACGTTGATTATTTCTGTTATACATCACCATAACACGACTTGCCCAGACAAGCTTCCAGGAATACATCCATAGCCAACTGATTTTAAAATTTCTGTAAATATCAATTTCAGGGTTAAGTGTTGGTACATTATATACTGCGTATACCATTCTCTAATACCAATTACTGCTCAAATGAAAGAAAGATCCACAGTTTGGATATACCTGTGCATTAAGTAGTACCAATCAACACTGTAGTAAGTAAATAAGACTAAAGTTTGGGTTTGGTGAGTTTTTTTGTTTTACCTCACTCTAGTGGGGCTTGGCTTTTGATCTTCTTTGGAAACACTCACTTGTATAAAAAGGAAGTAAAGTGTTCTGCATAGCAAAGAAAAGTAAACTCTAGTAAGACGGCTGGTTTTGTCACCGCCCAGAAAATTCTACCATAATTGTAAATAACATATTTGGTATGAAGTCTGAAGCTATTCACTTTAATTTTAGCCTTTTCATTCTAAACTTCCAATTTAAAAAAAAAAACAAAAACAAAAAAAACCCTGCAACTTATCAAACACCTCAGTTCAATCATTAATGAAAATTCAAATCCCGTGAATCAAGTATGTATTCACTTTACAGAAAAGTATACAGATGCATTACAAAAGGAGACACAGAAAGCAAACAATATTCTTTCCCTGGGCAACCTGAGACTGGAACTTTTGAATAGAAAAAGCCCAGGAAAGCTTACTGGAAAGTGCATAAACTTACGCACTTATGCACTGAAAGTGCATAAACAGAATACTTTGTTATTGACTTCTAGTGTTTACATTTCTAGATCTTGGAATCTGGGACATTCCATCCACCTCCTGCGAGGACCGATTCTTACTGGAAAAAAAGCCAGATAACTTAAGAAGTTTTATGACAGGGGTCAAAATCAGCCAAGCTTATTTGGACAGGGTCAACAGGCATCATCATTTCTCAAGTCTTGAAATGCTGACTTATCAACAGAGAGCCCAGTCTTCTTCCAGATGCAGAGAGACAAACAGCTAGGTTCCTATAACTCCTGTAAACCTACATCAAGGTAGATGTGTTTCTGAAGACCAGAGCTTATTTTCTGTCTTAATACACATATTTTGTTTTATATAGCAATCTGATCATATTCCTCTATCGGACCAAAATAGTGGCAAATAGTAGAGTAGCACTGGCACATATGCCAGAGCTCGTCTGGTGTCTTGTATATCGGACAGAAGAGGGGGAGGAAGATGTAGCTTTTCACCTGTTCTAACAGCATACTGTGAAGTCTTCAGAACCCTTCCAAGGTTCATGGACATATACACCATTTTTAACAAAGGCTGAAAATATGGGAGCAGAATTTCTTACATGACAGTATGCATCACTGGCATTATTTAAGCTGCTTATTGGCAGAAACAGTAGTATTCCTTTTACCAAGAATTCTCTGTGTGAAAACCTTACTTTATTCAAAAATATTCTGTAAATAGATAGTGAGTTCAGCAGCCAAGCAATGTGCACTGTAGCACAGTCTACCTGCTCTGTTTCAAAAAAATGAGCAACATGACAATTATCTGTGTAATAAAACTTTTAAAGCCTTTTCATATGTTGGAAAACCACTTGGAAACTATATACAAACACCACACCATTTAGAATCCAGAATGTTGAAAAGATTAACATTTTCTTTAAGGCTCCATTACCACACTCACTTTAAAAAATTGATGCACTCGACGAAGAATTAAGAGACACCAAAGCTGAAACACAACATCACGACAACTGTTCAGATCGAAGTATAATACCACAAGCGGGGAAAATCTGTGTCTTCCAATTAAGAAACTCCAAGTGGCCATGGAAACATTGTGTCGTTAATAACATACTTGTGTCCTTAGAGTTAAAATAATGCTATTCTACCTCATCAACATATGTGGGACAAAGGTGTACATTTAAGAGCTGAGAAAGACAAGGATAAACACTTGCCACAGATTAGTTTGTACACGCATGCATTATTCTATATAATGTCTGATAAAACGTATTATGAACTCACCAGAAAAACCTATTGTCAGTGGTGTGCTCCTGCATGCTGCGGTGAGCATTGAGACTAAGATCTAAACTGACACCCGTTGCAGACCATGCAAAATAGAAGTTTCCCGAGTTCAAAACTTTGCGCACTTCTGAAATACGATCCTCATCTGTTGAATCAATTCGTAACGATACAAATTCAGTGGAAGTAACTCGAAAAACTTCAGAGTCTTGAATCTTTCCCACAGACATGCATCCTGTTACTAGAACCAGATAATGTAACAACGTGTCGCCTGTAAAACAAGAAAAGGCACAGGTAACAATGACTCTTAGTGGAGTGTGATGTTGATGTATTTATATACGCTTAAATGCACACAATCTGACCCCAGTTTTCCTGAAAAAAGTCCAAAAAGAACCAACATCAAGAATTCATTCTCAAGTTCTACAAAAGAAAAGGAAACACAAACAGGAGAAACTATGCTGCAAATAACAGGGATTGTGAAAACGGAAGTTATTTTTGTCCACTCCCTCATTTCTGGGAGTGCTCCAAACTTGCAAGTTACTCTACAAAGACAAAAAATAAAAAGAAAAAAAGAGCCCAGTTCCTTTTGCGAAGATCCTGTGCTGTGCAGTTTTACAGGAGCAGCACAATTTTCTTTCCCAAATGAAAAATTAAGGTTTTGCATATTTTACTCACCAAGGTTTAATCTTAATACACCCAAGAGCCCATATGCATCCATTACTTTGGAGTAGGTATTCTTGATTGTGTCTTTTTCTACATAAGCTATAGAGAGAAAGCATAAGATTTTTTGATGTAAAAGACCATACACTATGGCAGGGAGAATGAGTCCACTCTAAACCGAAAATCCCAGAGATTACAAAAGTAGTGCTTACGTGAAACTTCTGGAAAGAAATCAAAATGTATGAGCATATGGCATTTTATAATGGAGAATGAGTATTTGATTTTATGACAAAGTATGATCACACTATGTTTTTAGGCAACAAAAACAGGACTTGCAAAAACTCCAAGTGATATTAAAGGAGAACGTTGGCATTTTTAACATCATAATCTCCTAATATAAAAAGCATCTAAAACACAGGCAAATGAGTTCCATGAGAATGCTCTCCTGCAATTAGTTAAAATTAGAGTAGTGCTAAATGCTGCTTTATTTAATGAAAAAAATTATTCTTTTCCTCCAAGAATAAGGCCATGATGTGGCAGTATTATTTCCAGATAAGTAAACAAGATTATCACAAGTGCATTTTGACTAGTTTTAGATACATTCCAAGCAAATGAAAACTCTTGTAGGTCCACAAGATAATGGTATTTAAAAGCCACGTCTTAGATTAGGAAAACACAATTTTCACAGACATTTTTGAAAAAAAAAAATGTTTAATGTTTCAGAAGAAATTGTATCTACCATTATTCACCTGGGAGTTAAAGTTAGCGTACACTTTAGAAATTTACTCAGCACTCAAAAAACCAGAGGCCCACAAGCTTGACTGCAGAGCCAGGTGACAGAGATGCTGCAGGGCAGAAACCAGATCGCACCTGTCCTGAGCTTTTGCTCATGACTGAGACTGCACCTGAAGCACAAAGACCGACAATTCCAGCTATGCCACTGGATCCACAGGGATTGAGATTTCTGGGTCACCAAGGATCAACACCTTCTCCCTCCTCAGAAATGATCTGCTAATTAATTTTCACTTTGACAATTAAAAAAATCAGAATTTGACATAAAGAAAAGCATAAATCAAAACGCCTACTGCCCTGGCATTCTGCTGTGCTCTCTCTCACATTAGCTATATTTTCCTTAGAACTGCTGTTGTGAATCTTTCTAATGAGTATTCCCTAAGCTTAGCATAGCCCTGCCTGTGCACAAGCCTATCCCTTCTGTTCAAATGTCCGCCAGCTCTATTATTAAAGTGGATCAGAAACTCCAATATAGATGAAACAATTATTTAACCTCAGCCTGAAATCTAAGCTCATTCAATGTTTTACTAAGTGCATTTTAAAAAAGCTTCTTTAACTACTTGCACTGATACGCTGTATTCCTGTAATCCAGATGCTAAAGATAAGAGAGTTATAGCAGCATGATTATTTCCAAAGTCCTCACCCATCGTAAGTGTTAAGACTCGCAGCCAATCTAAACGCATTGTTTACAGACAGTGATTTTGTCAGCATCACCAAACCATGTTTTCTTAACCAGATCACCATCAGGCTGGAAAGAACAACTTCTAAACTTCAAAACCTGGTTCTTTCAAACCATTTTTTCAGCAAGCATTTAATGATGTCAACATACTCTTCTGAACTCAACTTTCGGTAACCAGAGAACTGCCATGTTTCTCTTTCACATTTCAAATTAGTAATGAAAGATGAGGTTTAGTTTCAAACTTTTTGCAGGATTTTTCTTAAAGGTGCCTGCCAGCATTTAATGACATTTCAGAACAATGGCTTTTCTGTCTTCTATGGATTTATTCTCTTTTTCCATTGCCTAGATCGCCTGTTATCCTTGCTAAGCCTTAATAAGTAAATGCCCGAAGTAAAGTAAGTGACATGGGCTTTGCAAATTCAGATCAACAAAAAAGGCCACGGCTAATAAAGCAGCAAAGGATTGCAAAAACAAGCAAAAAAAAAAAAAGGAAATAGAAAAACTTACTGTGGCTAGTCAATTATTATTTTCTCAACAAAGCACTCAAGCACCAACTAAAGGCACTTCATGCTAAGTTTTTCAGTTACATTAGATCTAATACAGTGTGAACTCTGAGCAAAGCTTTTCCACAGTGAGCATGTATTACTATCTCACACTGCCTGCACCTTTCCCATTTTTTTTTTTTAAGGCCAAAATTCACATGGGAAAACAGCAAACATCGCAAACCTCAGAAGGTTCACTTCATCCATCCTGCCCTGGCCCATCCTCACCTATCCCCAGGTTTCAGCCACTGCCTCTGCAGAACCCGAGTCCAGGCGCAAGGTACATTTAACAGGCCCCACAGCAGGCAGCCGGGACGCAGAAGAGCTTACCTGCAACATGCTCCTACCACCCTCCCATAAGGCACATCAAGCCTACTACGAGTTACAACTTTATAACATAAATTCGTAAGGCAGATTCCCCTTCATTGAGAGCATCCGTTTGAACCTCTAGCTGTCAGCGTTCACGAAACCTGAAAGAATGATGAGATTTGGTGATGACTGATATTAGCCAATACAGAGGGATGAAAAATGGTTATCACATAAACCTCCTTTTCCTTAAGAAACCAAGCTAAAAAGAAAGCAGTCACAGAAGTAGCACTGATAGCAGAAAAGGGAGCAACTCCACAGTAGTGCACTGCTGCCCCTTCCCTACCGCAGCAGCACCAACCCACGCTACGCAGGGATGTTTTGGATGGTTGACTGCAGCAGTGCTCAGGCTGCTTTTGGGGTAATGCACAATAAGGGACTTCCCACCATCAGGAGTGCTACAATACTTAGGAAAGGCACTTGAGTTTTCTGAAAAGCAAGATGAAATCAGGAACAAGACACAGCTACACCACGCTCCTTTCCATTTTCTTCCATTTGAACTGTTGGGACACCGTGGGGACCAGCATCTCCCTGGGGGCCAGGGCACTGGTAGCCATGGGGGGTCCCCCAGGGAGGCAGGGCAGGCTGGGGGCAGCCCCAGCCCAGGACATCAGGCACCTCCGTGGGGATGGGCTGAGGCCCCACCAGGATGGCAGTCTGTAGGCAAGAGTCAGGCCTGGTGAGGGTAACCGGGGCAAGACACAGGCCCAGGATGGCCAGGCAGGCCATGGAGACAGGGACAGGCCAAGGCTGGGCTAGGACATCAGCCCGGCTCAGCAGGGCCCATGTCCAGGCTGGGCAGGGCTGTGGAGAGCTGGAGACCGGCACTTTGCTGCAGCATTGCTGGGGCAGGGACTGACAGCCCTGAGGGGACTGAAATGGGATCCTGGGCTGTGGGCAGGGTGGGGGAAGCCCCCGGGGGGGCTGGGCAGGGATGGTCAGGGCTGGTGGCATCCTCAGGGGCCCTGACATGAACAAGCAGTAACGTTATGAAAACATGCAAATGATTGTACAACTGGTTTAGACCAAAAGTCCACTTAGCCTCCAAACATTTACAAGAATCTCTTGAACCAGCACCTCCACCAGTGCTAGCCACAAGGATGCCTTTCATTTATGGATGCTAAAAGAAAAAAGCCCAAACACCTAGGCCAGAGTGTAATCTATTACTGACTGCCACTGCACATGGCATTTCCCATTTCTGAAGATACCAAAATTAAATCTGGTACGGAGTGATATGAAAACCTGCAAACAGTGTGAATGACAATGTAAGTGCTCTGGAACCATCCAGATTCTCCCCACAAGTATCATATTTAACTCCTCCTTCTTCACCAAAGCAGTAAGCTTCATGAAGATCTATGCGCTCTCACTTCATTCAGCATGCAAAGTCATCGGGTACAGCTGGATACGCAAGAGCCACTGAAGTTACAAAAATACATGGCTAAGACCCCATCACTATAATATCTTATATTCAGTGTATGCAAAGCCAACTTTCAGTTTCCTCTATGAATAGCTGAAATTACCAACTGGGTGAACTGCAGCTTAGAAGTTAAACCGCAGGAAGGCTAAGGTAATCCTGAGAGAAGGAGAGAGCATTTCCTCATTTCCTCTGTAACATTCTTAACGAATGAGAACATCTCTTCCCAGAATGGTAGGTTGGCCTGCAGCCATGAGAACCCTTTTGACTTTGATTTATGAGCTCCATGTCTTGAAAAAAATGCAGCTAATATAAATATGCACTCAGAAAAACATAAAGTCCTACAAATTAATGAACCTACTTCTCTTCGAGAAACTGACTTTTCTATTTATTCATCTTTAAATAGCTCAAAGTAAGCAAACACAATTAAGGCTCTCTGAAAAAAATATAAAAAGCTGTCACTCGCTAAGAAGAACGAATTAAGACATGAAACTTCTAAAGACAGAAGTTACCAGCTGAAATGACAACTTTCATCCATAACACTGGACTTAACAGATTTTAAATTATACTGTAGAGGAGTAGTAAACAGTAGACAATGCAAGCATACATATATCTGTGTATAAAGATGGACACAAAACATTAGGAGGCAGTATTTCTTCTATTACTTTGTGTCAGTTCAGATGTTAAGCAGAAAGGAAATTAAAAGCAGCTTCTGCTTAACCCACTGCATTAATTAGATTCAAGTTGATTAATTTCTAAAACAGAAATAATGACTCGCTATTTAGCAGTACAAAAAAAACCCCAAAACCACAACACTTTTAATGTGGTTTTCAGGTCAAGTTGTAATGCATTCTTGTAGAAAGCCAGCAAGCCTCATTTGCAGTATCAAGAGAAAAAGAATAAAATAATTTTAAGTCAATCTTTATTAACAATTAATAGGTCATAGTATTTTTAAATGTTAACATCTCATTTGTTCAAAGTTAAATCACAAGTGTGCATCTGTAATAATCACACCTTATCAATCACTGACTCATTTAAGAAAGGTGAATGATTAAATTATTTTACAGGGATTATGTCAGCCCTCTTACTGTTACGCAAATGGAACCCTATTAAAAATCCTGTCTTTAGGACAACTTGGTTCAACATGTATTCTACTTAATTCCAAATAAGAAATTAGGTTTTCAATTTTAACAATTATAAAGCTAACATCATGTTGAAAGTTATCATTTAGGCTTTCCACAGTTACGTTCTCTTCTTGGTGGGTTCACAAGGTGCTATGACAACACATTTTAAGTTAGTGGCTACAATT